GAAGACACCTCTCTCTCTTTGTTAACTCTTTCAAATAAATAAATCTTTTTAAAAAAATGAATTTCAGGATGTTCACAACATGAAGCTGGTACTGTTTCAGATCTCCATTCTGTCAATCTTACCTAGAATAAACGAGCCATGTTGGTTTGGTCACATGAACAATGAATGCCTGCTAGATCTATCTGAACAAATTTCCCGATGCTTTGATGATTCTATTAGCAGGGCCTGGTCTCTCACTAGTTCTCCTAAGCAGAGTTATTGAGCATCTGACTCCTGGTGACCTTCCAGGGGGTCCAAAGTGGAGAAGAAACCTTCAATTAAGTGCTGCTAAGTCCAGGCCTTCCAGAATACGAAGACCATGGAGACACCTGACAGATTCCCACATAATTAAACCAAGGCTGCTTCCAAAGAAAGCTTTGAGAAGGTAAATCAGTCAGTCTACCTCCATGCACCTGCAGCCTCCAACAGTGGAGTGAAAGCACACTCTGGAAAGCAAGCTTAACACTTCAAAGAGGACTCTCTGCAGACACGTAAAATATGTGTGCCTGCATTCATAAATGTTCCCCTGAATTTCTTTTTTGGTAACACTGGCTAAGGTTTTTTAAACTTAGGACGTAAGTCTTGAGTGCAATCAGTTTGTACAGAACATCTGTTCACCTATTTTAAATGGAATGATTCCATTAAGAAGAGGAAACATCCTCCATATTTCACCTTTCTTGAACCCTGGTGAACACCAGAAGAGTACAACAAACACTTACAGGTTGCTGCTTCCTTCAGCATAGGAGACTAGTACATGAGTCTGTCCACAGTAGTTGCTGGCTATGACATCACCTAGCTTTTTGTTTTAATGCTATTATCATATCTCAATTTACTGTTTTTACTGGTATCATCTGTCTTCCTAAATCTCCAAGACTTGCTCTGCACACCAAGGTAGTCCTTAGTAACCAAAACAATGGCTGGTTCTCAGCTGTGTGTCCAATCAATTATATTCCATTAACTATCACATCTGTTTTCACGGCCCCAGTCAAGTACACGTTAGGTCACACTCAGGACACTGGGCTTTTGTAAGCATTTATTGGTTAGAACTGAAAAACACCTCATCCTGGCCCTCCGTACAATGAAGAAACTGAAGAAATTAAAAATTTAAAAAAAAAAAAAAAAAGCTCCAGGATTGGAATTTTGAGAATCAAATATCAGAAAATATAAAGACTGTTCCTGAGCAGACTAAGGAGTGGCACTAACGTGCTACAAATCAGTTCCATACCTAGCGTTTGCTTTGCTACTTAAACATTGGATTGCATTGTTATAACTGATGTGGACACTCTTTCCTTGGTGGTATTTCCTTGTGCTCTCTAGCCTCTATTTTCTTCTGGCATAGCACCAAATCCTCCAAGCACTAGAAATTAGACATATGGAATGTGAGGAATGTCTGATAACTTCAGAGATCAGCCATTAGTCATAAACAAAAATGCACGCCCTTTGGGCTTCGACTCAAATTCAATTTGAAGCAAACAAAATGAATGCTGGCAAACTATGCAAGGTGAAGTGGGGTGGACTGGGAAAACTCTAAATAGAATTCAATGCACAGATAAATACTGCTTCTTTATTTCAAATGTTAGTAAGATGAATGTGCAAAGCATGGCTTGGTTGAATTCTGGATTAATGGTACCTAAGTTAGAAAAACCAGTAATTAAAATCACTTTCTATAGTAAAGTTCATTCTGTTCCCATAAGCTTTCACCAACATCCATATTGTGACTTCGTCTTTAGTTATCTATCCAGTTCTACAGGTGCTAATACTGTTCAAGATGAATTAAAAGCAAAAAAAAAAGAAATTAAAAAAAAAAGCTTTCAGAATTATTCTAAACCAAAAGAGAAGTAGCCAAGTGCAGCATGTTTATCTCTACTGGAACATAGTCCTTGGGGGGGAGGGGGGAGGGGGAAGGGTTATAAATGAATTTTTGAAGCAGCTATGTAATTTAGACATATTATTGAGCTATACTTCTATTTCCACAGAATGACAATGCTATTACAGTTCTGTAAGAGATTACTTTTTTTCTTGGAAAATGAATGAACTATTTAGTAGTTCAAGGCCATGGTATCTGTCACTTGTCTTCAAATGCTAAAGCAAAAAATATGGATACAAACATATTTACTTTACATGTAATATATTTAGAAAATATTGTACACACAAAAACAGAGCGAGGAAGAAATAAAGGAAACTTCAGAAGTTTTGCAGGAAAATGGAATTAAAGAATTAAAACTTCTCAACATAATCCCCATGAGGTTCAAGACACTTCTAACTGGTAATACCAACCATTTAGTCTAACTCAAAAATACTTGAGGCTCTTGGGAATAAGCCATATAAATGCAGTCTTTTTATGCTATTAACTGAACAAATGAGGGCCTTTAAAGATTTTGTAAGATTAGGAAACAAAAAGAAGACAGAAGGAGCCCAATCAGGACTGCAAGGCACACGCCTAACAATTCTCTGTCCAAACTCTCCCAACACTGCCCTTGTCTGACGAGAGCTGAAGCACTGCTGAGGTGGAGAAAGATTCTGAAAAAGCTTTCCTGGGAATTTGTCTGCTACATCTGTGACTGATTTCCCAAAACACTCTCACGAGAAGCAGATGTTATCATTCTTTTACCCTACACACCCATTATTTTACCCTTATGCAGCCCCCAAAAAACACTGTCGCAATCTTTGCTCTTAATCATTACATTTTGCTTTGAATGGATCACATCCACCTCTGGTAGCCAGTGCTTTGATTGTGTTTTCAGGATTATACCAATAACAGCCATGGTTCAACTCCTGCTACAATACTAGAAGAAATGCTTCAGAAACTTGATCCCATTTGTTTAAAAGTTCCATGTACTTCATCTCTTCTCTGCTGCTGAGCTGAGCACTACAGTCTTGGCACCCATCAAGCAGAAAGGTTGCTCGTCTTCGATTTTTCAGTTAGAATTGACTACAATGGGGGTTGGCACTGTGGTGCAGCAGGTTAACACCCTGGCCTGAAGCACTGGCATCCAATATAGGTGCCGGTTCGAGACCCGGTTGCTCCACTTCCAATCCAGCTCTCTGCAATGGCCTGGGAAAGCAGTACAAGATGGCCCAAGTCCTTGGGCCCCTGCACCCACATGGGAGACCCGGAAGAAGCTCCTGGCTCCTGAGTTCAGATGGGCACAGCTCCGGCCATTGTGGCCATTTGGGGAGTGAACCAGTGAATGGAAGACCCCTCTCTCTCTCTCTCTCTCTCTCTCTCTGGGTAACTCTGACTTTCAAATAAATACATCTCAAAAAAAAAAAAAAAGAATTGACTACAATGAACTGAGATGTGCATGGTGCTAGCTAGTGTTTTGCTATTAATCGTTAGTCCTCCTCAATTAGGGCACAAACAAGACTACTTTTTCTTTACAAACTTATATGGATGCTCTACCACTGCAGGCTTCAGCCTCAGCTTGGTGTAACCCCTTCTTAAAATGAGTTATCTATTTCTAAATTACTGATTTCTCTTGGGCACTATCTCTATGAACTTCACAGAAAGATCAACGATCACACCATTCTACCACCAGAGCTTCACCATAAATTTGATGTTTGTTTTTCCTTCATTTTTAGTGGAATTCATGTTACTATTCAAACCAGTATCTTATCCTTCTTGGTGCCTCAAAGTACATCCCATCCAGATATCCTATAACAAGTTAATGTGAGCCTATTTGGGTCTCAAAAAAAAAAAAAAAAAAAAATGAGGGGGCTGGCGCTGTGGCGCAGCAGGTTAAAGCCTTGGCCTGAAGCATGGGCATCCCATATGGGAGCTGGTTCTAGTCCCAGCTGCTCCTCTTCCAATCCAGCTCTCTGTTATGGCCTGGGAAAGCAGTGGAAGATGGCCCAGGTCCTTGAGCCCCTGCACCCAGGTGGGAGATCAGGAAGAAGCTCCTGGCTCCTGGCTTCGGATCAGCGCAGCTCCGGCCATTGCAACCATCTGGGGAATGAACCAGCGGATGGATGACCTCTCTCTCCGTCTCTACCTCTCTCTGTAACTCTGTCTTTCAAATAAATAAAATAAATCTTTAAAAAAAAATTGAAATTTGTGCATAGTTTTTTTCATAGCATGCCATTTCTATGAACTGTTTGTGTTCAAAAGTTTGTTGTCAGATCTAAGACGATGAAATACACGTGTCTATGTGTATCTGATGTTAATAATAACAAATGTGTATACATGGATATATTCTACTGTTTTCATATGCTAAAGTTTTGTATAATAAAAAGATGGTAATAAAAATTCTATCATTAAGGAACATCCAGTAAAGAGTACATATTCAGCATGAACACTTACTTGCATTCCATCTACAAAACAGCATAAACACAAAAGACAAAAGGCAAGACAGCAGACAAAAGTAATGATACTTGGGTGGGTGGTGGACAGCTGGTAGCTGAATGGCAAATGCCTCGCAGATATGAAAAACAGGACTGAGTCGACAACACAGAAAGTTCAGAAGCAGATCAATTCATACCACCAAGCCTAAAATGGCTCTGCAGTGCCAGCACCCAGGGCTGCAGGCAGTAGAGTTTGACTATAGGGGACTCTGAGAAGCCCACGATGCAGTCAGATCCCCAGCCTGCCTTTTCCCAACATGGGCAGAACAAGGCTTATTCTGCAGAGACTCAATCAGAAGGGCTGTGGTTTTCCAGTCAGCTGGGTATGGCTGGAAAGCAGGAGTACCTTACTAAAAGCAAGATCTAAGCAACCATGTATCCTGCAAATAGCAAGCCTCCCAAACCCCACTTCCATCACTCAGTTTGCAGTATGCCAGGAGCAGAGTCTGTATTTGCCAGGTAGGTGATGGTGGAGTTGTCTCTAGGAAAACTAACCAACACAAGAGAAAACCACCTACCGACATCTTTGGGAGCCTAAGATAAAGGCTGGGTTAGATCATTAATACACAGCTAAGCCTCACCCACTAGTACATGGCTCCCAACCAGCTTTTTGTGTCTACTTTTTTTTTTTTTTAAGATTTATTTATTTATTTGAAAGAGTTACACAGAAGGGCCAGCGCTGTGGCGAAGCGGGTTAACGCCCTGGCCTCAAGTGCCGGCATCGCATATGGGCGCTGGTCCTAGTCCTGGCTGTTCCACTTCCAATCCAGCTCTCTGCTATGGCCTGGGACAGCAGTGGAAGACAGCCCAAGTCCTTGGGCCCCTGTGTAACTCTGACCCTCAAGTAAAAAATAAATAAATCTTTAAAAAAAAAAAAAAAGTTACACAGAGAGAGAAGCAGAAGCAGAGAGAGAGGTCTTCCACCCGCTGGTTCACTCCCTAACTGGCCGCAATGGCAGGAGCTGCGCCAATCCAAAGCCAGGAGTCAGGAGCTTCTTCCTGATCTCCCACCTGGGTGCAGGGGCTCAAGGACCTGGGCCATCTTCCACTGCTTTCCCAGGCCATAGCAGAGAGCTAGATCAAAAGTGGAGCAGCCAGGACTTGAACCAGTGCCCATATGGAATGCCAGCACTGCAGGCAGTGGCTTTACCTGCTCTACCACAGCACTGACCCCAATGCCTACTTCTTAAATGTGACTGACAGCCATCTCAGTCAGGATAGGCTTGGTAACACCCAAGTAAAAAGCAACACCAAAGTCTCAGCAGCTACAAGCAGCACTGATTTCCCACACAGGTCATGTCCAGAATGGCTCTGGACAACTCTGCAGGCAGCTGGCCTGCACTCAGCAGGCCAGGCCCCACCTCCAGTGTCTGTGTCATCTATTAATGTGTTAGAAGATCAGTTAAGAAAATTTCCCAACAAATAAGACAACTAGAAGAAAAAGAGGGGACACTTGAATGATGAGTTCAGGAGGTCTAATGCCTCACTAGCATGAGTTCTAGAGAGACACAGAACAAAGTAAATATGAACTAGTACAGGAAAGCTTTCCTGAGGTGAGAGACACTGATTTTCTGATTACGCTCTTGTGTAGCCTGGTCACCCTGCACAGTGGCTGAAAAACACTTCCCTCAGCGCCCAACACTGGGATGCTTTAGAATATGAGGATAGAGAGAAGAGCTGAAAACCTTCAGACAGAAACCAGGTTATCGGGGGAAAAAAAAAAACTCAAGACGCATAAAGCCATCACACTTCCCAAACCCGGTATTGGAAGCTACAAGGCAGTAGAGCAAAATCATCAAAAGTTTGCTGCAAATGATCTCCCCTGGAATTACATCCCTAGTTAAACTATCAATCAGCAGTGAGAGAAGAATGGCCTTTCTGGAGGTGCCAGGTCCCATATTCCTGCAGAGCACCCTGCAGGAACCCCATAGGAAGGCAGTGAACAGCAGTTGGTCCCAGCTGGAGCCCGAGGGGAAGGTGCAGAGTACTTGGTGTGTCTCAATGGACTGAAAGGAAATTTCTAATGCTGGAAGCAAATTGGTGACAGGGACCCAAGAAATTAAACCAATGGAAAAAAGAGACAATCATTAACTACAGAGAAAACAAAAGGAAATGCAATCGTAGTACACTAGATAGGTCACCCATGAATAATATTTACATAAGTCATAAAAATGTAAACGTTGACTACTGATTCCTTTACAAGGTGATATAACACACCAAAAGGATGGGGTTGGGGCAGTGTGTGTACATGGGGCAGGTGCCAGTAAGAGGGCTGAATCCTCATCCACAGAGGCAAGTCAGTTCTCAAAACCTAAAACTGAACAGTCAAGATACAGAAACAAGAAACAGAAAAACACGGAGGTAGACATCTTCAGAAACCATGTAACATGGAAGCATGGTCGGCTCTGGGGTGACAGCAGTGTGCGTGAAGGAGAGTGGGGGGCCAGGGGACTGCAGTTTTTGTCTTGGGGACCTCTTTTTGCATTTGTTAATCATTTACAGACAAAAGTACAACCTGGATTAAAATTGTTTTAAGATCTCTCATTACGTTTCCAATTTTAATTTCTAAAGTCAAAAAACTTCCTTACTGTTTCTATTTATTGATTTCAGGTTTATCCCCCTCCCCACCAAATCTCATATAAATGTTTAAAGTTGCATTTGCTAAGATTAGGTAAACTAGATTTTTCTAGTACTCTAAAATACATAACATAGAAATAAGAAGACAGAGGCAGGTGGTTAGCTTAGCAAATAAACTACCAAGTGGGACACCCATTTCTGGTATGCGAGTGCCTCGGTTCAAGTCTCAGCTCTGTTCTGATGCCAGTGTCCTGGGAATGTATGCCCTGGAAGGCAGCAGTGATGGCTCAAAAACTTCAGTTCCTGCCACATACATGGATTGTGTCGCCAGTTATGGGCCTCAAACTGGCCCAGCCCCACTGTTATGGTCATTAGGGAGTGAACCAAGTGGATAGGAGATCTCTCTCTCTCTTTCAAATGAAAATATGAATAAAACTAATGTAGTCCTTTAAACTAAGTTCTAGTGAATCTTTTTTTTTTTTTTTTTTTTTTTTTTTTTTTTTGACAGGCAGAGTGGACAGTGAGAGAGAGAGACAGAGAGAAAGGTCTTCCTTTGCCGTTGGTTTACCCTCCAATGGCCGCCGCGGCCGGCGCGCTGCGGCCGGCGCACCGCGCTGATCCGATGGCAGGAGCCAGGAGCCAGGTGCTTATCCTGGTCTCCCATGGGGTGCAGGGCCCAAGCACCTGGGCCATCCTCCACTGCACTCCCTGGCCACAGCAGAGGGCTGGCCTGGAAGAGGGGCAACCGGGACAGAATCCGGCGCCCCGACCGGGACTAGAACCCGGTGTGCCGGCGCCGCTAGGCGGAGGATTAGCCTAGTGAGCCGCGGCGCCGGCCAGTTCTAGTGAATCTTAAAATAAATAGTATACCCTCTCCTTCTAAGAAGCCCTTATTATAGTCAATACTGTTAACATGACGAAAAATAATATAGGAAAAGTCTCTTGCACAGTGTTAAAGCACAACATACATGCTTTTATTTTTACATTTGAACTCTTGACCTTGCTCCCAAATAGGCTATAGTCCAATTGGAAAGATAAGGCATGTACAGAAATGCCTCCACCACAAGGCTGTGTGTACAGGGAACCATGTTCAGTACAGAAGGAAATGATGGCAGCTGATTAGAAAACGCTCCCAGAGATACGCATTCAGCCTAGCAGCTAGGATGCATACATCCCCTATCAGAGTAACTGGGTTCAATTCCTCCTGCTAATGCAGACCCTCGGAAGTTTATTAGTGGGTGCTCAAGTAGTTGGGTCCCTGCCACTTGAGTTCCTGTCTCCCAGCTTCAGCCTGGGCCTGGTCCAGCCCCAGCCATTATAGGCATTTGAGGAGTGAAGCAGCGAAGTATGGGTTCTCACTCTCCCATCTCTGTCTCTTAAATAGAACAAAAATAGATAGATAGATATAGATAATAGATAGACAGACAGACAGACAGACAAAGGGCCAGATATTTGGCAAGCAATTATAATGCCACTTGGGATGCTTGAATCAGAGTACCTAGGTTTGCATCAGGGCTCTCACTTGCATTTTCAGTGTGTGATAATGCATACCCTGAGAGGCAGCATCAATGGCTCAAGCACTTGATTCCTGCTGTCCATGTGGAAGACAGGGATTAAGTTCCAGCTCCTGGCTTCAGCCTGCCCTGGCTCTGGCCATTGCTGGCATCTGGGGAGTAAATCAGTAGAAAGATCTCATCTGCCTGTCTCTGTCTCTGGCTGACTCTATATCTCTCTGCTTTTCAAAGAAATAATTTTTTAATTATAAATCTTTTCAATTAAAATCTTTTTTAAAAAAGGAAAAGCTCCCATATGGTTGCATCTAAATTGGTGGTCGAGACTGAGGGAACTCATTAGTAACTCTTCATTTTAAAAAACAGAACACAAATGAATATGCAGAAAGTATTCTTTTAAAATGTCATCATATAGTGACCTTTTCTCTACCCTGTTATTTCTTCCATGCTCTTAATAAACAATATAAAAATCAACACAGTGTGGGGATTGTGGCACCAAGGGTTAAGCTGCCCCTTGGCATATCTGTATTCTGTATCAGAGTACCTGGTTCAAATCCCAGATGTTCCACTTCCAAGCCAGCTCCCTGTTAATGTGCCTGAGAGGCAGCAGATAAGGGCCCAAGTACTTGAGTGCCCACCATCCATGTGGGAGACCCAGATGAAGTTTTCGGCTTCTGGCTCTAGCCTGGCCCAGCCCAAGCTGCTGTGGGCATTTGGGGAGTGACCTTGTGGATGGAAAACTTTCTCCCTCTTTGTTTCGGCCTTTCAATTATATAAAAATGAATAACTTATTTTTTTCTTTAAATCAACAGAAATACAAATTCATGTCACAAAAATGTCTATCTCAACATCCCGAGCTCCATGGGTTTCACCTCAGGACTTCCGACTGTACTCATCCCTCTCCAACACCCACAGAGCTCCTCACCTGCTCTCACCTCTGGCTCTCCCTCAAACCCTTGGGGCAGTCAGTGCACGGGAGCCCATGTGACGCTGTCAGGCCATGCTCATGACAGGCTGGCCAATGGTTTGCATCTGTACCCTCTGAGCCCTAGTTATTTAGGCTTTGACGCGGTTATCTGGGCCTCAATTAAGGCTTTCAGTATCTGCCCTGCGCCCAGTGTTTTAGCATATGCTGGAGCAAGGACAACTCACCACTTCCCAGAGTGGATCACTCTCTGGCCAAGGGCATGCCAACTGTTAATCTAATGGCTTTCTCTTTCTAAGTGAATAAGCATCAGGAGTATTCATGTTCTCAGCATTACTTCTGTTACAGTCTCGTGTTCACTGTGCCCCACAAATCTATTTTCTAAGTAACCTGAAAAGCTAATTTTCCAAAGAAAATAAATTTATCCTTTGAATTACACACTTACTTTGAAGAACCACTTAGTATTCATGACAAAGTAGTGATTTTATAGCAACTTCTTTGTACTTAGCTAAATTTCTATCTGATTGTTTTATATTAAAGTAAGCAAGAATCAAATTTTCAAAAGTGTTCTTGGAATGAACATTTTGAAATATAATGAAATATGTTTATTTGGTAATTCAATTATTAGCTGAAGAGAGGAAGTTGTAGTGCTTCACTTAGCACTTTTTTTTTTTTTTTTTTTTTTTTTTTTGACAGGCAGAGTGGACAGTGAGAGAGAGAGACAGAGAGAAAGGTCTTCCTTTGCCGTTGGTTCACCCTCCAATGGCCGCCGCGGCCGGCGCGCTGCGGCCGGAGCACCGCGCTGATCTGATGGCAGGAGCCAGGTGCTTCTCCTGGTCTCCCATGGGGTGCAGGGCCCAAGCACTTGGGCCATCCTCCACTGCACTCCCAGGCCACAGCAGAGAGCTGGCCTGGAAGAGGGGCAACCGGGACAGAATCCGGCGTCCCGACCAGGACCAGAACCCGGTGTGCTGGCGCCGCAAGGTGGAGGATTAGCCTAGTGAGCAGCGGCGCCGGCCCCACTTAGCACTTCTTTAAACCAGAGTTGGAGTGTCCAAATCACTTGCTTCCTCTAACATAAATTCTATATAACAAGTTTGGTTTGTACGCATAGACACTGATCCCAGGGCTGGTGCTGTGCTGTAGTGGGTAAACCCTCCAAATGCAGTGTCACCATCCCATATGGGCACCAGTTCAAGTCCTGCTGCTCCACTTCTGATCCAGCTCTCTGCTATGACCTGGGAAAGCAGTAGATTGCCCAAGTCCTTGGGCCCCTGCACCCACGTGGGAGACCCGGAGGAAGCTCCTGGCTCCTGGCTTCAGATGGGCTCAGCTCTGGCCATTGCAGCCATTTGGGGAGTCAACCAGTGGATGGAAGATCTTTCTCTCTGCCTCTGCCTCTCTGTAACTCTGCCTTTCAAATAAATAAATAAATATTTTTTTAAAAAAAGATATTGATCCCCACTATCTGGGTATACCATGATAATTCCAAAACTGTATTTTATCAGGTCTCTCTGATGGTCACTCAAAAATATAATGATAAATAAACCTAAATCAGGGTGGGATTTGGCTAAGCGGTTGAGATGCTGCTTGGAAGGTCCACATTCCTTATCAGAGTGCTTGGGGTCACATCCCAGCTCCACGTCCAATTCCTACTCTCTGCTAATATGCAGAGTAGGCAGGAGGTGATGGCTCAACTACTGGGTCCCTGCCACTGGTGTGGAAGACCCAGATTCAGTCCTAGGCTCCTGGTTTCAACTGGCCCCAGGCTGCTGAAGGCATCTGAAGAGTGAACCAGTAATAAAAAACATGTCTCTGTCCCTCTGTTTCTGCCTTTCAAAAAAAATGAAAATATATTAAAAAGAGACATCAATAAAAGCATAAAAACTGTATAAACCATAACTGTCAGTCCTTCCTCAAACCTTAACAGCTCTATAGCAATAAACATAATTTCAATGAGCACCAACAATGATTATGTGTATCTAAAGTAAAATAAAGTTCTCATATGCCAAGGATTTATAATTTTATACAGTCGATCAATTTTGTTAATTTTACTATTTCCTAATGCTTTAAAATATTTATATATAGGGGCCGGCAGCATGGCACAGTAGGTTAATCCTCCGCCTGCGGCACCAGCATCCCATATGGGTGCCGGTTCTAGTCCCAGCTGCTCCTCTTCCAGTCCAGCTCTCTGCTGTGGCCTGGGAAGGCAGTAGAAGATGGCCCAAGTGCTTGGGCCCCTGCACCTGCTTGGGTGACCCAGAACAAGCTTCTGGCTCCTGGCTTCGGATCAGCGCAGTTCTGGCTGTTGCAGCCATTTGGGGAGTGAACCAGAGGAAGGAAGACCTTTCTCTCTGTCTGTCTCTCACTGTCTCTCACTCTACCTCTCAAATAAATAAATAAAATCTTTAAAAAATATATTTATATATAGACTTCAATATAAAATATAATGAAATATAAAATATTTCAAATCTAAAGACAGTTGTTAAAAACTCTTGTATTTTTACATATGCCATAATTTGAAACCTTACTTGAAGAATGTATGAGAATGGCATTTATCGTCCTGGTTTGTTGATTTTATCCATCATGATTTCTACCACAGCCAGCATGCTTCTGACACTGAATGGCACATTGGGAAGAAGGGCTTTTTAACAGTCTTCCTTCTTCATGTTTTCATTGTTCAGAGAATTTCCAGGCACTAGATGTTTTAAAACATAAGCTTTGACATCTTTGAAGCAGAGTAGACAGCTTTACTTTACTAAGACTAAGCCAAAACACAGACGCTGCTGTAACCCGGCCAAAAGTAAATCAGAGGGCCCCCAAAGCACAGCTCTATGGTGAAGTTAACAGAAATCAGAGGACAGACATTCTAACCCCAGCTCTACCAGGAGAGTATGACTCTGAACAATCTGTCAGTTTTCTTTGTCTACAAAGCAATAGAGTTTGATTCAAAGATCCAAAGTCAATTCATGCTCTGAAGTTTAATCATTTTTAGGTTCTATAAACTATGGTGACTCAATCTTATTTTCCCAAGAACTTAAGACAGAAACCTAAATGATCCTTCATTAACAGTAGGTCACAACAATTTTGTAAAATTTTTTTAAAAGATCTATTTATTGGGGCTGGTGCTTCCTTTAACATAAATTCTAATATAACAAGTTAGGTTTGTATGCATAAAGATTGATTTACACTGCTTTGGTATACCATAGTAATTCCAAAACTACAGTTTACAAGGTCTCTCCAATGGCTACTCAAAAATATAATGATAAATAAATTTATGTGGCATGTCAGGTTAAGCTACCATCTGGGGCACCATCATCTCATATGGGGGCTGGTTTAAATCCCAGATGCTCCACTTCCCACCGAGCTCTCTGCTAATGCACATAGGAGAGCAGCGTAAGATGGCCCAAGTCCCTGGGGCCCTGGCACCCACATGGATGAAGCTCCTGACTCCTGGCTTCAGCCTGGCACAGCCCAGGCCATTGTGGCCATTTGGGGAGTGAACCAGTGGATGGAAGACTTCTCTCTGCCTCTGCCTTTCCCTGGCCTCTTCCTCTCTGTAACTCTTTCAAATAAAAAAATAAAAAATAAATAAATAAAAAGCTTTTCTAAAAAAAGATTTATTTATTAATTTGAAAGGCACAGTAGCAGGCAGAGAGTAAGAGACAGAGAAAGGGAGCTCTTCCATCTGCTGGTTCACTCCCCAAATGCCTTCACAACAGCTGGGGCTGGACCAAGCTGAAGCCTAGAGCCAAGAACCTCATCTGGTTTTCCCAGGTGTGTGGCAGGTACCCAAGTACTTGGACCATCACTCTTGCTTTCTCAGGAGCATTAGCAGGAAGCCAGATAGGAAGCAGAGCAACCAGGATTTAAAGTGGCATCAAGTATGGGTTGTTGTATCACCAGCAGTGGCTTAACCCGCTGGCCCCAACAATTTTGTTTTAAACATTTGTGCTCCAAAGGAGCCCTTTGGTGTGAATGGCAAGAAATATAGGATGGATGTTTTTAAATAAATAAGGGAGAAGAAGGAGGGGAGGAAAGAGAGAGAGAGAGAATATGTTCCCCCATCTGTTGGTTTACTTCCCAAATGTCTGCAAAGGTTGGGGATGGATTGGGCCAGAAAAACCCAGGGATCAAGTATCCCATGTGGGTGGTAAGAACCCAGGTACTTGAGCCATTGCCACTGCTTCCTGGGGTCTGAATGAGTAAGCTGGAGTGAGGAGCCAGTACCAGCATTTGAATCCTGGTACTCTCATCTTAACTGGCCTCTACTCTGCCACTCCTCCAGCAAGGCTGACAACCCTGGATAAAGTGTTTCAGGATGCTAACTACGTTCTAATTTTCCATTGGAGACAGCTGGGGGATCCAGATCTGTCACCCTTGATCTCTGGATCCTCCAGTGTACAGAGAATAACACACATCACATACAGTCAACAAATATTGGTTGAATTAACTTGAAAACATCAATGAATAAATAACTTGAGATTAGAATTCTCTATGGCCCCACGGAAGCATGAGTTACACATGCACTGATTAAACCCTGTTTCATTCATTCAGTCATGTATTCCAATTCTCTTGAGGAGAGAGAAGGAGCCTCCAGTCACAAAATACTATGGTTTATAGACGTGAACAGCACTGGCCAGAGTAAGCTGCTAAGGGATGGAGACATCCCCGAAACCCAGACATTCTGGCCACTAGCTTGGCTCTCTCACAAACACCACGGTGCACTGGATGCATAGGGCATTCATATAAGGAAAACACCCCCAAGTTTACACTCTCACTCCTGAATGCTGAAGGCAACAGCAGATGCTTTCTCAAAATGCCTTACCCAGCTTACATTACTTTCCCAAAAACAAGGAAGGGGAAAATAGCTTTGATTAGCGGTCGGCACCAGGCCTACCAGGCTAAGCCTCTGCCTGCGGTGCTGGCATCCCATACCGGCACCAGTTATTGTCCCAGATGCTCCTCTTCCAATTCAGCTCTCTGACTGTTGTGACCAGTTGGGAAGTGAACCAGAGATAGAAGACCTTTCTCTCTGTCTCTCCCTCTCTCTGTCGGTAACTCTGCCTCTCAAATAAATAAATCTTAACAAAACAAAACAAAACAAAAAACACTTTTCATTAGCTGCTTCTTTCAGCCACTAGAATGGATAAACCTGGCTATGTATGGGAGTCAGGGGAACATAATTAAGAGGAGAAAAAAGAGAATTTAGAATACTACAAAATTAGCAGCAGAAAGCTTTAACTTTTAAATTGTCATTACTAATGCAAAATTCCAGCTTAGTAAATTACATGCAGATACTAAAAGTGTCATAATACCAGTGCAAAACTCTTCATCACAAGCACATAGTGAACTACTGCTTCATAAATGTATCAAGCTATTTTAGGGACATTACAAATAAGGTATTTTATTATCTGGAATGTCCACCTCGAGACAAACTCTTTTTCAAAAATAGAAAGTCTTATGAATTAAACAAAAGCAGATTTTTAAGCATAAAATACTTATTTTTTACACAAGTATATTTCATTATACCATTTTCAAATGCCACCATGTAGGACTTGGATGAAAAATTAAATGTTCCACATTGTGTTGGTTTTTACATAAGGTTCCTTCATTACCTATATAGTGTCTACATTCTTTGTAACAGTAATTAAATTGAAGCCTCAAGGGAGTTCATTCGCATTTGTTGTGCGTCTCAAGGCATGAGAAGTATGTAGCATTTATATAACAGGAAATATCTAAAAGCATTCTGCTGAATTTCCTTCCCCCACACCCCCTTCCACACCCATTCCTTAAACTGCCTTCAAAAGGCCTGCTGTGTTCTTTAAAAATTAAACACCAGTTACTAACAGAAAGAGTGAATCTATTCCTTAGTTTGTTTGGACACCACATCTCCTCTAAAGTTGCATTTAGCCTGGCTTAAATAGCTTCTGAAGCCTAGCACCTGACCCTTAATGCCCAAATATTTTAATGCCATGCAGGTCAAATATGCTTTTCTGTTATTATCAGAGTGGAATTTAGGAGGAAAAAAGGAAAGCTGACCAACTCGGCTTTCCATTCTCCACATACCAACCCTAATCAAGAGGCCCTTCCAAAGTCTGACGTGAATGTGGCTCTGACACTCCAAGCCCCAAGAGGCCCTTTCACCCCTTGCCACACTCGTTCACCTCTACTCCCTGACCTACCCTCACATCAACTTTGCCCCACCAGCGTCTGGATTCCCATGGGCATTTACTCAGCCAGCAGAAGGCCCCGGGACAAACAAAATGTGAAATTCACAGGCCCAGGAATGTTTACCTGTGGTATATTAGTGGTAAGGATTGCTAGTGTACCACATAAATAAGTCTAACATGTATTAATTATTCATAGCTCTGTGACATTACCTAGTGACAATTATTAGTGCCTTTAGTTTATGGATTGCCCCAAATGTGCCTTTTTGCAGCCTAATATTAGTCATGAAAACTCATGACGGCAACAAGAATGTGGATCTTACTGTACTGGAGGCTGGCACACCGCCAGCTGCAACCTGCCTGGCCTCTTGAAACTATGTGCCCGTGCTCCCAGAAACCAATCCAAAAACCCGAAGCACCTCAAGGTCTGCTTTCACAAGTAAGCATCCTTGTAACACGTGCATCAGGCTGGCTTCAACCCCCTCGATTCTAGGACCCATACACACATGCAAGGACTACACTGGCACCAAAAGCCAAACTTCACAAGGTTTTTCCTAACAGTACACACTGGCTTAAGAGTTTCCCAAAAACATTCTTGACCAGAAGAAGAAAAATGTAAGCATCTCTTAGTTCTTAACTTTATCTGCTTTTGAGACCTAATTCCCCATCTATTCTTTCTGTGCTCATCAGGTTGTTGTTGTTGTTGTTGTTGTTTTAAGTATAAAATCACATAATGCTGAGGACACTCACCTGCATTCAGTCCTAACATTTTCCAGCTACCAGGGTGCTTAATATCAGGCAATTGCATAGAGACAGAGAGAAAGGTCTTCCTTTGCCGTTGGTTCACCCTCCAATGGCCGCTGCAGCCAGCGCACCGCGCTGATCCGATGGCAGGAGCCAGGTACTTATTCTGGTCTCCCATGGGGTGCAGGGCCCAAGCACTTGGGCCATCCTCTACTGCACTCCCTGGCCACAGCAGAGAGCTGGCCTGGAAGAGGGGCAACCAGGACAGAATCCGGCGCCCCGACCGGGACTAGAACCCGGTGTGCTGCGGCGGAGGATTAGCCTAGTGAGCTGTGGCGCCAGCCAACATCACAACTCTTTTAACCTGACTTTACCAGAATAAAGCTCTCTGCACACTCCCTACCATGGTAAGTTTGCTTACTGGAGGCTTTGTTGTTGTGTCCTTACACCCTGCCACAGCTGTGGGCTCTGGGCCACACTTCCCAGCTCCCATGACTGACATGTGGTTCCCGCAGCTGAGGCCAGGAGCAGATGGCAGCGTAGGGTGTGGATGCAGAAAGGAGCTCGGAATCACGCCTGGCTCACCATGAGTACTGCGCATCTCCCAGATGCTGGTTTTCAAATCTCTGTGAGGTCACCTGGATGTGTCTTACTGCCTGACTTTATACTATTACCACTTGCTCATACTTTAAAAGAGTTTGCTTCCAGGGCCAGTGTTGTGGCATAGAAGTAAAGCCGCCACCTGCAGTGTTGGCATATCACAAGGGCATGAATCCCAGCTGCTCCACTTCCAATCCAGCTCTCTGCTGTGGCCTGGGAAAGCAGAAGATGGCCCAATTGCACAGGCCCCTGCACCCGCGTGGTAGACCCAGAAGATGCTCCTGTCTCTTGTCTCCTAGCTCCTGGCTCAGCAGGTTGTTGCAGCCATTTGGGGAGTGAACCAGTGGATCGAAGACCTTTTCTCTGTCTCTCCTTCTCTTGGTCTATAACTCTGCCTCTCAAATAAATAAATTAAAAAAAAAAAAAAAGATTCTGCTTCCTCGGTGAATGTATAGAGACTCAGGTCTTAGGAGCAGCTTGGTTCTACCCTCTTTGTGATCTAAAGTTAATCACTGAGAGGTAAGACTTTCACTGCTGGGCCCTCAAGTAAAAGGACTCCTTCTGTTGAAGTCATCTCCTCTCACCAAGGTACTCCAGAAAAGAATAAAAAGTGAACACAGGAAATAATGATGCTTGTTGGAACACAAAAGAATGAATACACTTGAAAAGGCCTTTAAGACCTCAGGATTGTGGATGAGAACCTACACATTATGTTCTAGAAACCAAATAGCCACTGAATTAGATGAACAAGACAAACCAGGAGCAAGAATGATGCGGGGGGGAGGCTGAAGTGAAGGGGAAATTCCGCTACAGAAATGCACGCTCTCCAGGAGTACCATCAGTCACCCATCTGAATGCCTGCTGAGAGAATAGACCTTAAGAAGCTGAAATAACTCCTTGTCTCATTGGCTGAATAAATGAAGTTGTGCTGGCTAGAAAAAAAAGCAAGTTTTCACATTTTCACTCAAGTCTCCAAGGGAATTAGGCTGACCTGAAGCATTATCCAACAGAAGCAGCTATGCTCTAAAAGCTGTACTATTCCTGGGTGTGGGAGGCTGGGCTGCCACTTGCATTGCCGGCATCCCACATGGGTGCCAGTTCGAGTCCCGGCTGCTCCACTTCTGATCCAGCTCCGTGCTAATGTGCCTGGGAAAGCAGTGGAGGATGACCCAAGTGCGTGGCCCTTGTACCCATGGGGAAGAGCCAGAGGAAACTCCTGGCTAATGGCTTAGGATCCATCCAGCTCTGGCTGTTATGGTCATCTGGGGAGTGAGCCAGCAGATGAAAGACTTCTCTCTCTGGGGCTCCACCTTTCAAATAAATAAAATAAATATTTAAAAAGAAAAGTTGTATAATTTTGCCTATCTCTGACCAAAAATAAAATTGAAACAAGTCTTAGAACGATGATGTTTTAACTTACAATCTTTTATCTGTGTACCAAATGACTGGTTGAGATGCTTTTTCATGATGTCTTTTTAACACTCAGTGTTATCAGACTTACAGATTAGCGTACGTTTTATTTGAAAGGCAGAAGAAATGGAGACAGACAGAGCTCTCATCTGCTGGTTCACTTCCCAAATGTCTGCAAAGGCCAGAGCTGGGCAGGGGCTAACACTAGCAGCCAGAAACTCAGCCAAGTCTCCCATGTGGGTGGCAGGAACCCAACTACTTGATCCATTATTGCTGCCTCCTCGAGTGCACTGGCAGGCAGCCAGGGTCAGGAGCCAGAGCTAGGAACTGAATCCAGGCACTCTGACTGGATGTAGGAGTCTTCACCACCAGGCGAAATGCTCACTCCCCCTAGGTTTTCATTTAAAGTCATCTTTTGTGTTACCTCCTAATAAGAGTTACTCTACTTTAAATTTTTTTTTGTATTTTCTTAAAAGACTTCATTTATTTATTTAAGAGATAGAATCACAGAGAAAGGGCGAGACAGATAGAAAGTCTTCCATCTGCTGGTTCACTCCCCAAATGGCCACAATGGCCAGAGCTGGACCAATCCAAAGCCAGGAGCCAGGTGCCTCTTCTGGGCCTCCCATGTGGGTGCAGGAGCCCAAGCACTAGGGCCAGCCTCTGCTGCTTTCCCAGGCCATAGCACAGAACCAGATCAGAAAAGGAGCAGCCAGGACAAAAACCAGAACCCATCTGGGATGCTGGCACCACAGGTAGAAACTTAGCCCACTATGCCATAGCACCTAGTTACTCTACCTGTAACTCTTTATAAAAAGCCACTTCACTACCTTCCATCTTCACAAGCACAGGTCCTGGTGTGACTGGCTAACAAGGTCTCATCAACATTAAAGGGTTTGATGATGAGCATCTTCACAGGCCTAAACCAGCCTGGACACAAGTCTCCCAGCAGCATCCTCATCTGTGCTACAGATTCAACTGACAGCTTAGCATCAACCAACTCATGCCAGTTTCTGCAGTGATGAGCTAGTTCTCACTTGTACTCTCTCTTCTTCAGTCTCTGTGTACTCACTACTTCCTTTCAATGTGATGAGTAACTTCAGTATTTTGCCCTGAAAGCTAGCTAAACGGACTGGGATGTTTTAAATTGGACCCTTCAATTCCATGTAGAACTAACATTCCATATTAAACATAAGCACTTGTCTAGCAAAACTTCAACTGGAAGATACTCAAATGACCTTACCTTGCTTTTCACATTCACAGGCTCATGCAACATATTCACACCGTAGCTCAAGGAAGGGTAGAACTCCTTACATGCTTGCTTTGCTGTCAACATCTGCTAATCTGATCACTTTCAATTTCACTCCTAGCATTTATCACTTTTTACATCTTTGTCACATTTTCACCTTTGTTGGCCAATTCCTCTTTCAATTATCCATTCTTGTAAAATGTCACCCGTGTTCATCACATGGGCCACCTCAATCATCTCTCTTTCCCTAGGAAATGTAATCTGAACTTCCTGCAAATGTTATAGAAGCCCTATCAATTTCCTTTTTTTCTTTATGCTTAAATACCAATTATCTCACTTCTGCCCAATTTATCTCTCCTTTACTTTTTAATGTTTTAATTACTTTTTTTTTTTTGCTCTAGCTTTGTAGACACCTCAGCACACTCTTACTCTGTAATACAGTCAGATGGAGAAGCTGTGAGAACAAAAGGATACACAGGAAATGAAGTTACTAAAGAAGCATAAAAACAGTGCTGGAAGAATTGTGTCTGGTCTGAGAGGAGGCCAGAGCCTGGGTGAGGCAGCACAGCAGCTCTGAGCCCACTGATCCATGCTGCCACTGACAATGTAATGCATATACTGTACTCACTGACCCCTACACTGTGCTAATGGGGTGGTGGCTGGGAGAGATTGGTGGTTAGCAAATAATGCCATCATAGATGGAGGAGATAGCTTGATACAGTTCAAATTTAATCAATTTATTTGAAAGTAGGAATTACCAGAGAAAGGGGGAGAGAGAGCACCGGCAACCTCCAGTTTGAAAAACATAATTACAGGGGCTGGTGCAGTGGCACAGTGGGTTAAGTAGCCATCTGTAGTACCGGCACCCTATGTGGGCACTGGTCCAAGTCACAGCAGCTTCACTTCTGATCCAGCTCCCTACTAATGTGCCTGGGAAAGCAGTGGAAGATGGCCCAAATGCTTAGGCCCCTGCACCCACATCGGAGACCTGGAGCAGGCTCTTGGCTCCTGCCTGGCCCTTGCAGCCATTTGGGCAGGAAGGGGAACTCTCTTTTTATCTCACTCTGTTAATTCTGACTTTCAAAAAAATAAATTTATAACTTTATAATTTATAAAATTTATAGTTATATAAATTCAAATTAATGAAATGTTGCTACATCTTCAAAATACATGGTAATAGAAATAGATTCTCTATGGAAGAAGTCATACAGCCACTGAGAGGCACAGCCAGGATTCAAATGTAGGCACGAAATCTGTCTCTAGAGTCCACACTTTTTAAGTGTTTATTAGTGTTTAGGTCCTCACTGACTGTTTTATATCCACTTATCCGAAAATGGACTGATATCCAGAAAACATCAGCAACTCAAAATATTCAAACATAAAAAGCAACCAATATAGTGAAGAAAGCACAAAGGACCTTAATAGACAGTTCTCAAAAGAAATGTAAACAGTCAACAAATGTATGAAAAAATGCTCAGCATCACCAGCCATCAGAGAAACGCAACTCAAAATGACAATAAGATGTCAGCTCACCCCTGTCAGAATAGCTATTAACTAAAAAAATAGAAAGTAATAAACACTGGTGAGGATGTGGAAAAACGGCTTATACACTGAAGGTAGAAATGTAAATTAGAGCAGCCATGGTAGAAAACAGTATGGAAATTTCTTAAAGAACTAGAAACAGGAGCCAGCATTGTGGCATAGTGCGTAAGCCACTGCCTGCAGCGCCAGCATTCCATATGGGCACTGGTTTGAGTCCCAGCTGTTCCACTTCCAATCCAGCTCCCTGTTAATGTGCCTGGGAAAGCAGCAAAGGACGGCTCAAGTACTTAGGTCCCTTGTACACACAAGGGAGATCTGGAAGAAGCTCCGGGCTTTAGACTGGACCATCTTTGGCTACTGCAGCCATTGGGGAATAGGCCAGCAGATGGAAGACCTCTCTCTTTGCTGACCTTCTCTTTGTAGCTATGCCTTTCAAATAAATAAATAAAAATATTTTTTAAAAAAAACTAGAAACAGGCTGGCACCATGTCTCACTTGGCTAATCCTCTGCCTGCGGCGCCAGCACCCGGGATCCAGTCCCAGTTGGGGCGCCCGATTCTGTCCCGGTTACTCCTCTTCCAGGCCAGCTCTCTGCTGTGGCCCGGGAAGGCAGTGGAGGATGGCCCAGGTGCTTGGGCCCTGCACCGGCATGGGAGACCAGGAGGAAGCAACCTGGCTCCTGGCTTCAGATTGGCGCAGCTTGACGGTCATAGCAGCCATTTAAGGGGTGAACCAACTGAAGGAAGACCTTTCTCTCTGTCTCTCTCTCTAACTCTGCCTGTCAAAAAAAAAAAAAATTAGAAACAGACTTATTATAGGATACAGCAACCCTACTACTGTGTTCAAAAGACTTGGATACAATGTATTAAAGAGATACCTGAACCACCATGTTATAGCAGCACTGTCCACAATAGCTAAAATATGGATCCAAGCAAGGTGTCCACCATCAGATAACATACTGATAAAGAAAATGTGGTGTGGGGCCCAGCACTGCGGTGCAGCGGGTTAATGCCCTGGCCTGAAGTGCCAGCATCCCATATGGGTGCCAGTTCTAGTCCTGGCTGCTCCTCTTCCGACCCAGCTCTCTGCTATGGCCTGGGATAGCAGTACAAGATGGCCCAAGTCTTTGGGCCCCTGCACCCACGTGGGAGACCCGGAAGAAGCTCCTGGCTTCAGATTGGTGCAGGTCCGGTCGTGTGGCCATCTGGGGAGTGAACCAGCAGATGAAAGACCTTTCTCTCTGTCTCTCCTGTCACTGTAACTCTGTCTTCCAAATAAATAAAATAAATCTTAAAAAAAAAGAAAAAAGAAAATGTGGTGTGTATTATTCGGCTACAGAAAAGAATGAAATTCTACCATCTGCATCAAAATGGATCAACTGGAGGACATCACGTTGAATGAAATAAGCCGGATGCAGAAAGACAAACACCACATGTTCTCCCTTATATGTGGGAGTTAAAATTTAAAAAGAAAAAAAAAATCAAAAAACAAAAACAAGATAGAATGCCTGTGTGTAGGAATGTTGCTGCAAATATAGTTTTGACAAACTTTGTTTTATATCTTTGTCAAATGGTTAAGAATGACATACTACTATAGTTTTAGTGATCTGTGATTATCTGTAAAGTTTACTTACATGGTGAAATGGACCTCTTTCCCTCTGACTACTGTTTCTAGCCCTTGCCTACCTATTCCTGCTGAATGATGGTCTTTCTGCCTTTTACTTGTTGCTCTTTTTTAGTGGAGCGGTAAGGTTCTGACTAAAATGTAAGTTAAAAATGTCAAAAATGGGGCCGGCACCGCGGCTCACTAGGCTAATCCTCCGCCTAGCGGCGCCGGCACACCGGGTTCTAGTCCCGGTTGGGGCACCGGATTCTGTCCCGGTTGCCCCTCTTCCAGGCCAGCTCTCTGCTGTGGCCCGGGAGTGCAGTGGAGGATGACCCAAGTGCTTGGGCCCTGCACACCATGAGAGACCAGGAAAAGCACCTGCTCCTGGCTCCTGCCATCGGATCAGCGTGGTGCGCCGGCCGCAGCGCACCGGCCGCAGCGGCCATTGGAGGGTGACCCAACGGCAAAGGAAGACCTTTCTCTCTGTCTCTCTCTCTCTGTCCACTCTGCCTGTCAAAAAAAAAAAAAAAGTCAAAAATGACAAAAGGAAGAAAGCAGAGAGAAGAACGGGGGAGGAAGGGAAGTATCAATATATTCTTTTTTTTTTTTTTTTTTTGAAGATTTATTTGAAAGTCAGAGTTACACACAGAGAGAAAGAGAGGCAGAGAGAGAGGTCTTCCATCCAATGGTTCACTCCCCAACTAACCGCAACAGCCGGAGCTATGCTGATCCAAAGCCAAAAGCTAGGAGCTTCTTTCAGGTCTCCCACACAGGTGCAGGGGCCCAAAGACTTGGGCCATCTTCCACTGCTTTCCCAGGCCATTGCAGAAAGCTGGATTGGAAGTGGAGCAGCCAGTTCTCGAACTGGCGCCCATATGGGATGCCAGCACTGCAGGCAGCGGCTTAACCCGCTGCGCCACAGCACTGGCCCCTCAATATATTCTTAGAATTGTATGTATGAACTACATTAAATCTGTTCTCTCTATATTAATATCACAATAAAAATTTTAAAAAAGAAACCAAACATAAAGCAGATTTGCTTGATTTTGAGATAAAAACTGACACTGACCTCTAAGATCTTTTCAAATAAACCGATAAATGCCAAGAGATAGGACAGCAAAAGAGGTTTAAGTCTGTCAACAAATAGCAACTGATTTAAAAACATGGGTAGCTTAAATGGAAGGGCACAAAGTCCATTCTCCTGAAAAAGTAGCCACTGATAGCTACTAGGTAACAATAACAGCTTGCAAGTCAGACCTATATGCTCCTTGTCCAACCCAATAACCCAGACAGTGTCGCTGCACATGTGCCCATCAAGTGGCTCTTTCCAGTTACATCCAGCTTCTCAATCTCAAAGGCGCCCCAGGAGAACCCCACAGCTATTAAGGCCCAGCTCCTCAGAAGACTCCCATGTACCCTGTACTACTGGAGAACTGAGCGGCAGATGAAGAGAAACTTCTCTTTACAGAAAAATTCAAACAAACAGGTAAACCCCCACTTAATTAATTCATGAATATAGACACTGGGCATCAAAGGTCACTAACATCTCAAACATATGTGCTTTCATATGTTCACTAATATACAGTTACACATAGGAATATACTAAATTTGATCAAAACTGTGGTTCCACTATGAATTTACAATAAATATGCAATTGCACAATGGGGAGGCTATCAGAAAAGGCAGACAAGTGAAGAGATAAACTATGGATTAAAAAATACTTAAAGACTTAAAAAAAAAAAAAAGGAGGAGTGGCTGTATGGTCCAATTGTTAAAACACACCTGCATCTTGTGCTGGAGTACTTGAGATTCAAGCACTCAGCTCCCTGCTAATACCACCTTCCTGCTAATGTGCAGCAGGCAGTGGCTCAACTGATTGGATCCCTGCCATCCATGTGAGAGACCCAGACCAAGTTCCCAGATATGGCTTTGGCCAGGCCCAGCTCCAGCTGCTGCACGTATTTGGGAAGTGACTTAGGACACGGGAGTTCTCTCTCTTCCTCTCTCTTTTCCTCTTCCCACCCCACTAGCCTCTATGCCTCTGAAATAAGTAAGCTTTAGGAAGAAAATAACGACCTGTGGTGTTTCCAGTTTTATTATCCAAGCATGTACCCCTGAGGCAGGGCAAGTAGCTGGTCACCATAAAGGTCAGGATAATCAGTTTTGCGAGCAGGGACAGTATATGGCTTTTGGTGGTTGGCCAAGTTCTAATGTCTTGGTTGGTGCTGAGGGTATTCTCTCTGAACTGCCTCAGTAGGCTGTGCTGTATTTTATGTAGGATCCCTAATTTTAAAATAATAAAAGGTTTAAAATGAAAAAAGAGTGATGTTCTAAAGGCAGTTCCAGACTGTCCATAAAACAGACTAAGAATGTGCTGGGGTGTTTAGAACATCAGTAAGTAGGGCCTCCCCTAATACCCACTACCAGCATGTATAAGAAGTAATTTTGGGCCGGCATCGCAGCTCACCAGGTTAATCCTCCTCCTGTGGCGCCGACACTCTAGGATCTAGTCCCAGTTGGGGCGCCGGTTCTATCCCGGTTGCTCCTTTTCCTGTCTAGCTCTCTGCTGCGGCCCGGGAAGGCAGTGGAGGATGGCCCAAGTGCTTGGGCCCTGCACCCCATGGGAGACCAGGAGGAAGCACCTGGCTCCTGGCTTCGGATCAGCGCAGTGCGCTGGCCGTGGCGGTCATTTGGGGGGGTGAACCAACGGAAAGAAGACCTTTCTCTCTGTGTCTCTCTCTCACTGTCTAACTCTGCCTGTCAAAAAAAAAAATAAAGTAATTTTGGATTTAATAGTTACTTTTTTTTTTTTTTTTGACAGGCAGAGAGGACAGTGAGAGAGAGAGACAGAGAGAAAGGTCTTCCTTTGCCGGTGGTTCACCCTCCAACGGCCACCACGGCCGGCACGCTGCGGCCAGTGCACCGCACTGATCCGAAGGCAGAAGCCAGGTGCTTCTCCTGGTCTCCCATGCGGGTACAGGGCCCAAGCACTTGGGCCATCCTCCACTGCACTCCCGGGCCACAGCAGAGAGCTGGCCTGGAAGAGGGGCAACCGGGACAGAATCCGGCACCCTGACAGGGACTAGAACCCGGTGTGCCAGCACTGCAGGCGGAGGATTAGCCTATTGAGCCTCGGCGCCAGCCTGGATTTAATACTTTTAAATTAATTAATTACTTAATCAATTTGAAAGGCAGGGAAGCTGAGAGAGACAGAGATGCAAACATCTTTCATTCACTGGTTCACTCCCTAAATGTCCCCAGTAGCTGGGGTTGGGCCAAGCCAAAGCCAGGAGCCTAGAACCCCATCCAGGTCTCCCATGTGGGTGACTTGGACACTCAAGCCATCACATGCAGTCTTCCAGGGTGCACATTAGCAGGAAACTGGAACCAGAAGCAGAGTCGGAACTGGAACCCTGGTGCTTCGACAAGGAATGTGGCCTCCCAAGCAGCATCCTAACCACTGCACCAAAGACTGGCCCCTCCTGGATTTGATACTTTTTTTTTATGGAACTGAAGGTCAATATGAGGAAAAATTGGAACTCTGAAAGGTCCTCGTGTGCCTTTACTATTTCATACCGTTAGTCACACTGGCAGGACACACAGTAACGCTGACAATGCCTGGGACCGGGAAAGGCTTGCATGTATCCTGCCCGGTCACAGGCTGACAAAGCTAACCCTCTCCTGTACATATGGGGCTAAGGACGCGGACTGGCCTGGAGGCTCTCTTCTTACTGCTCATCCACACCAAATACCTGTCAGGTGTTTTTTCCTAACTCATTCAGGACACACTGGTTAGGGCAAGAGGAAGCTTCTTGTGGGGATTTCTGGTTGCATGAGAAAGTCCTTACCGCAAGGTGTTCAAACTGAGGAACAGAAGGTGCACAGGAATGTGGGTAATTACTTCATGAGCTTAGTGCTCCTAAAAAGAAGCAAAGACGTACGATCATTCTTTGAAATCCTGAGTCTACTTGTGCCTTCGTTGGGCAGAAGTGCCGCTACTGAGCTAAGCAAAGAAACAGAAGGCAGTGGGGAACACACACACACAATTAGCAAACATCAAGTGAGCTTACCAAGAAAATCAAAGATGATCACAGTGCTCTTCACTACTAAGAAGAGGAAACTATACGAGCAGTATGATGATAAATGCATCCAGGTAGTCGAAAATCTAAGACCTAGACACAATTTAAATAAGATTAAATAGCTTCCTAGACCACATCTGTTAAGATCCTAGGTTCATTTGCATTGTTGTAAATATGGCATATTACCAGATTAATCCCTGGACAATCGTTGTTAACTAATTCTTCATTAGTACTTGCCATCTCTCCCCCCTCCCCGCCCCCGAAAAATCCACTGCTTTGCCAGAATAGGCGTTTTTATTTTTACATGGAGAGGAAAATGCGTGTACCTAAAGGACTATGAGAGCCAAGAAGCTCACACACTACTTGTATCTTTTGTACTTGGGGAGGTAAAGCAGAGTTTGAGGGCGGTTTTAGTAAGATCATTTAACTACAGAGCTATAATTTCACAGAGTTCTAAAATTTCCTATAACCTGCTTATGTTTTTTCAAAACTACTCAAAAACAAAAGGATTATTCAGTATAATCACTCTCAGTATTTCATAAAGGCTGTCCCACATTCATATTGAACAATGAAACACAGTGAAATATATTGTCATGTGCAAATACATACCTTATCACAGAAAAACATGCTTTACCTTACAGTTCTTATATTTGCCTGATATGCTTTTGTGTTCTGTCTTTGTGATGCTTCAACACACAACCTCAAAGAAAGAAATTATAGGGACAATTTTGTTTTAACCTCACTAAAATCCTAAATAAAACATGTTGGAAATTTCTGTACCACTTTCAGCTTGATCCTAAACTTTTAAAATATTATTTTTCAGTATCATCTTTACATGAATTTTTAAGAAAAAAAAATTGAGGAACGTCTTACTAATTCCCAAACTCTGAGATTCACTTGGCACTGCTGCCACATCCTGGGTCCTGGTCTATATAACAACCCCGACTGGTGAGCAGGCGGCTCCCTCCCCTGCCTAGAGCATGGCCCCTGTTGGGGAGAGCTACAGTACAGAACTGCACTAATTCAAAAGCCGGTCACAGCACTGACTGGCTATATGCCTTTTGGCAGATCACTGGCCTCCCGGAGACTCCACATCCCCATGGAAAACACAGATGATAGGACTCCATGTTTGTGAGAAGGGAACGCTGTTAGGTAACAGGTAAGCATCTGGGATAGAACAAGAACTCAGGAGCTCCCATTTCCCTCTCTTTCCTCTTTAGATCTATTGAGATTGGAGATCTAAGGAAAGTCCTCCTGCCATAGAGCGCAAACCTAGAATCATGGTGCTCTAAGTGTGGCCCTGGGACCAGCGCTCCCCACATCACCTGTGGGCTTGAGGGAAATGCAAATTCGTGGCAGGGGACCCAACCCAAATTGGAAAATGCAAATCTCTGGGATGAGTCTAAGACATGGCTGTAGTGAGCTTTCCAGCCATTTCTTAAGAACATTAAAACTCAGAACCACTGATCTAGAAAAACAAAAGAAGATACATGCCTCATCCTCTGCAGACCAGTTATCCCACTTTCTGATCCTGGCTCACTGTCTCCTTCTCTGTTTGTCACTCCAGCTCCTTCCACTGCCCAGTGGCAGAGATTCAATTCTGGACTTCACTGGCTCACTTCCTAGGCCACAGATGGTTTCTACTCCTCCTGGCTGTCCTCTCACAGTGACACTGTGGTACCTGTCGCATTCCCACCACCAGCACTACCCTGCTCAACAGGGTCTGGAAGGGTCCCCTGAGCAGGTCAGCTTGTGCACATTCTAGTCCCATGACCCCTCCCCATTCTGTCCCGGAAGCAGAAGTCCCAGGCATCACTGGCAGGCTCCATGGCACCTGGATCCTCTACAACCCCTATACTGAAAGCTCTCAACAAGTCAACCAAGGCAGGCCTCACAAAACTGGCTGTTCTCAGTCCATACTCACTTCCCCTCCTGTGCCCGTGGCACAAAGTACTCACCCAAAAACCTTCACAGGAGACAGACTGCAGCATTTGACAGGCAGCTCACGGCAGGTTTCATCTTTCCAGAGTGCTCTGCTCCAAGTCAAGATAAAGGGAGTAATGCTCCCACAAACATTCTAATAAAAGGGAACGAGGCTGGGCTCTGGCCTGAGGCGGCCATTGAGGAGTTTCTGCATTGGACAGGGCATTCACCACTCATGGAGCACACTCACTCACAGAGCACACTCACTCACGGAGCACATTCCGTCATCAACTCTGTGACTGATGTCCAGGCCCTGGCAACCCACATTCCAGCTCCCTTCTATCTTCTAGAGTAGTGGCCCTCCAAAGCCCACCACTGCCAACGACCAAGGCCAACAATTAGACTGAGTGCATGGCACTCTCTGGCCACAGAAACGGGCCTGTACCAGCAGGTGCTCGGTCCCATTAGAGGCTTCCACAGTGTGAACCCCCAGCCAGGAGAGAGGGCTTGAGACCATGGGCCTGGCTGTGAAGTGTGCCATATGTACGCCAGCTTAGACACAAACACACACTGGTACCAAGCCCTTCCTGGACCAGTGAGGTACCCAAACAGGGGATTTAAACCTTCATGTGCCACCCTAAATCCTCAAAGCAGACATACAAACCAAAGCACACTTCAAAACCTGGGAAGCTGCACACACCTCTGACAGTGAAATTAGGCTACTGCACTCAAACAAGGATAAAGGATGAAGGCAGGTATGCCCCTTAAGCCACACAGGGAAATCAAGACATAGCAGAAGAATATTTAATGACATAGGACAATGCCAATCTGAGATTATATTTTTAGGTAACTTCAGATGAAAAAACTGTCCTGTTTCCATGCCACGTACTCCAGAAATGAATTTACGCCCCATGGTGGCTATGTGACAGTGCTCACTTCCCTGCACTGCTCCCAGCACCGAGTGGAATGATGTCTCTAGGTCTTCACCAGTTTTCAAAGGGAAAAATTGTTTTCTTTCCTTATGTAGTTAACTTCCCAGCAAAGTTGCTTCAAGCTGCTCAGCATCTCTGCTCTGCTCTACCCTCTCCCACGTGGCTATGACCAGAGCCTCCGTGCCTTGGACTGACTGATCGGTCAGCTTCCCACAGTGATTGCTGTACACATTACAACTTCAATTGTGTGAAATTTGCATACATGTAAATTATAATAAGACGATGCATGCTCATTTAAAATATTGGTAATACAGATGACTATTACTAAACTTTTCTTTAATACTGCAATCTGTCATCTTTTTTTTTAACAATAGAAGAAAAGTGCTTAACAGATATTTTCAAACAGCTTACAAGTGGATACTGCCAGAAATTTTCTTTTTTTCTTTTTTTTGTTTTTGTTTTTTTTGTTTGTTTTTTTGACAGGCAGAGTTAGACAGTGAGAGAGAGACACAGAGAGAAAGGTCTTCCTTCCGTTGGTTCACCCTCCAAATGGCTGCTACGGCCAGCGCACTGCGCTGATCCGAAGCCAGGTGCCAGGTGCTTCCTCCTGGTCTCCCATGGGGTGCAGGGCCCAAGCACTTGGGCCATCCTCCACTGCCTTCCCGGGCCACAGCAGAGAACTGGACTGGAAGAGGAGCAACCGGGACAGAATCTGGCACCCCAACCGGGACTAGAACCCGGTGTGCCAGTGCCGCAAGGTGGAGGATTAGCCTAGTGAGCCGCGGTGCCGGCCCAGAGATTTTCTTTTTAAGAGACATTTATATTCACTACTGTGAGGTAGCAGTAATTCTAAGTGTTTGACAAATGGCACACATTTAATCCCTGCAACAAGGCTATGAGGGAAGGAGGCAGAGGAGCTTCCCATGGGTCTACACAGCCAGAAATCCACAGTGCTGAGAATAAAATCATGTCCCCCACCACTAGGCCATGCTGACTCTCAGCTGTGGAGGCTACACTGATTGAACCCTCTCTCCATCCACAGAGCACCAAGCCTCGCTAGAGAGGCATGGCAGACTCTAGGAGCACAGTTTCTCCCCAACAGCCATCCTTCCTTAGGCTGCGACTTTTGGCAGATTTCAGCAGCTAAACAATACCAAATCTAACCAGTGGCACATTCAGCAATGCAAGACCAGCACAGCGGCCTCTAGCATGCCCTGGCTGTTACTGAGGTGACATTTTTTCAGCTAGTGGAAAAATAACATTTGTGTGCATTTCATCGTCTGATTACAAATGGATTGTGTGTTTACAATGAATTACATCCCCAGTACAATGAACATCACTAAACAAATCTTGTCCTGTTAAAAACAATTAGTATAAAAGCAACTGACACCAGAGCCTCATATTAGTAAGACATATCGTGAATGAGTAATGACATTTGGGATAATACACTTTCTCTCTACAAAACTTTCAATTAGTCCTGGCAGCCATGAACTTAATTATTAATTTCAAATATTAATTTTAACTTTCAAAAGGATGATTTAGCAATGCTGCAAGATTATGAAATTAATGCCAAGCAGTTTTTGTCACTCTAGCACATTTTATTACTAATTGCTTAGCAAACTACTCTCTAAATTTGTATTTTTTTCATTTGCAATTGAAATTCCAAAAACAGAACACTGAATGAAACACTAAGCAATTATTATTTATTGAAGTCTAATGGTCACGTTTCACCAAACTAGTATCTCTGCAACTACTTCTTTCTAACACATACAAGAACAGCTGGGGAAAAGCTCCCTGATTCAGACTAATGCCCGAAAAACTAAGGAAATCAGTTCACCAACTATTCTAAAGAATTCTGACGCTGTTACTTGTTAAACACTAGGCAACTCAAACAGGGGAAAAAATTACTCAGGAGTTTCAAAGACATGCAAGTGGCCTATTGACTGTTCCCAAACAGGATTCTGAAATGCAGGTACTTGAAGAGGCCTGACAGCCATCCATGACGACTTCCTCCCTACTTCTCTGGATCCATGATCTGACTTCCTTATTCACCACCAGTCGGGCCTCCCTGTTAAGAAAGAGCTTACCCTGGGAACATCAAATCATGCAAACATCACCACTTAACTCACAACATGGAGTATTTTCAATTTTTGTAAAAACTTTAGACGTTTCATTAAATATTCTAAAAATGAAATTTAACACAATTCTTGACCCAAAATGTTTGTATGTTACTACAGAACATACGAAACTTAATCAGAGTCCACTACTTTATCACTGTTTCCCAATAATCCAAATGAGGTTCATCTATGCTGAACAGGATGGGGTTGGCAAATGAGTTTCATCTCTAGGCAACTCTAATCAGTTAGTCAGGACTTCCCAGAGCCCGTGGTTGCAATGGGTTCTGCTGCAGCAGTCACAGAAGCAGAGGGGAGTGGCATGGACCCTGCATTAGGCCATTCTTGATCCAGTTTTTCTGGCAAAATGTTGATGAATTTGAATGTCTTCTGACCCCAGAGACCAAACCTGAGTCATCTATACTCAATATTCAGAATGCCAAGTTAATTTTAACATTAATTCAAAACAATTTATAAAGAAAATCAGTGTGCAAAAGTGGGTGTCATATGAATTCCAAAGCCAAACACAAGTAACCTGGGGAATATGCCTGTGGATACAACTTCCACCTGGTGATTGTCTCTGATGGGGACAGGATGAATTTCACCACTCATTCTTGACAGGACACGGGATTTTATAGGCTTCTCTCTCTCTCTCTTTTTTTTTTTTTTTTTGGACAGGCAGAATGGACAGTGAGAGAGAGAGAGACAGAGAAAAGTCTTCCTTTGTCGTTGGTTCACTCTCCAATGGCCGCCGCCGCCAGTGCACCGCGCTGATCCAATGGCAGGAGCCAGGTGCTTATCCTGGTCTCCCATGGGCTGCAGGGCCCAAGGACTTGGGCCATCCTCCACTGCACTCCCTGGCCACAGCAGAGAGCTGGCCTGGAAGAGGGGCAACCGGGACAGAATCTGGCCCCTCGACCGGGACTAGAACCCGGTGTGCCAGCGCCGCAAGGCGGAGGATTAGCCTAGTGAGCCGTGGCGCCGGCCAGCTTTTTTAAAAAAAATTCTTATTTTATTTACTTGAAAGAGTTACACAGAGAAAGAAGAGAGAGGAGAGAGAGAGAGGAGAGAGGAGAGGAGAGGAGGGGAGGGGGAGGGCGGAGGGAGGGAGGGAGGGAGAGAGTGTCTTCTATCCACTGGGTCACTCCCCAATTGGCCCCAATGGCCAGAGCTGCGCTGATCTGAAGCCAGGAACCAGGAGCTTCTTCCAGGTCTCCTATGCAGGTACAGGGGCCCAAGGAATTTGGCCATCTTCCACTGCTTTCCCAGGCCATAGTAGGAAGCTGGATTGGAAAAGGAGCAGCCGGGACTAGAACTGGCGCCCATATGGCATGCCCGGCGCTTCAGGTCAGTGTTAACCTGCTATGCTACAGCGCCAGCCCCAGTAGGCTTCTCTTGACATTGCTTGTTTGAGAAAAAAAACTGCACTTTCTTGGATTTTACTTTACATATAATTTATGGAGGGAAGTTCAACATTTTTGTGTTTTCCATCACAGTAAAACCACCCAGCTCACACCCATGTGCCCTTGGGTAACAGGAGCTTGCAGCCCAACGTCAGCCAGAACGTACGCCCCATGGCTCTGTGCCAGGGCTTCTCATGCTGGTGCAGGCCAGGACTGAGCACATGCAAACCCACAGAGCAGACACAGCCTGGCTCCCCGAATCATTCGATATTAAAATAGGCACAAATGTGTTCTTTGCAAGAGCAAAACTGGCAGGGGTCTTCAGGAGAAAACAAGATAGAATGTAACCTTTCTGCAAGGCCTGCAAAAGCACACACACCCCTCCCAGGTGCCTTCTTCTTCCCATCAGCAGTTTGGTGGGAAACTCAAATAAGCACAGTTACTGTTGGTGTGCAACAACCAAAGGCTGAGTCACAAAACCCAACAGACACTTTGATTTTAAAGGGAGAAGAGGGTGGCAAGCGGATCCCTGCAACAACTGAAATTCCAACGACAACCACAACAAAACAACATTTGGGGCAGGAAACTGCTGTTTACCACAGTCAAATCTGGACTATAGTCCCGTGAATAACACACTCAACATTCATAGTACATTCCAGGCAATACGATCCCAGAACCTGGGGCTATCACTTGTAACCCACTTGCCAAGAATATTCCAACTGGGGGGCCTTTGTGTTTGGAATTACAACCCCTCGTCCAGAATGTTCCTTTCATAGCTACTTCCCTGGCTCCTGTCCCTGCTTTCCTAGCCCTGCTCTAAAACAGGGCCCCTCCCACCTACCAATCCTTGGTCCCCTCCCCCTCCACACTCTTCCTTCCCAGCTTACCAGCTCCCAGGCACGTGTTTCTTGGTGTACGTGTTAGCCATGTGTCCCTCACTAGCATCTCCTCTGTGAAGGCAGGGCCTGGTCAACAGTGGGATAAGTCAGTATTCATTCAAGGAAGGACCACTAGACAGCGTCTGTTTGTTTAGAAATGAATGACACGAAGGTGTCAGAATCGAGCACCTACGTAACTCCACACACCTCCCAGGACACAGGCAGACATGCGACCGCCACCTGCGTACACGCCAGAGGCCAGGAGGAAGCCCAGTGCCGGGGACACCCGGGTGACCGTAGCCACCTGGTGACCATTTGGCTGTCTCTCTGACACTTGCCTGAAGATGCTGGAGCCCCTGAGTAGGCATAGAGGATGCTGTATTTGCTCCTTGGAGTGGTGCTGGGAAGGCACTGTGGACTGTGCTCCTCCAAATCTGTATGTTGAAGCCCTACTTCCCAAAATGACAGTGGTGGGAGACAAGATCTTCAGGAGGCAACTGAAGTCAAATGATGTCACAGGGTAGGGCAGGGACCTAACAGGACTAGTGTCGCTATACAATAAACACCGGGGGCTCACCTGGGCTTTCTGGTTTGAGTGTGGCCCAAGGAGGAGAAGCCAAACAGCAAGACACAAAGAAGATAGCCATCTGCCGGCCAAGGGAGAGGGCTCTCATCACTGATTTGCTGGCACCCTCAGCCCAGACTGAAGCCTCTAAACTAAGCGTCTGCTGGGAACGCCCTCATCAATGGGGTTCCATAAGGCAGCCTGAATTGAGCAATGCAGGGGTGGTGGAAATCAGCCTTGAGGCCCTTAAGAAGTCCCTCTCTCCTTCTGTTCCTGGGCCCCCTGTGGTTCCCCAAAACCTGTCGATCCTCACAGTTAAGATTCTGCCACTTCAATAAAAGTAGTCTGCAATTCTAGAATGGTTTGGTTGCTACCCTTTGTCTTCCTAAGGCTCAGTAAAAAATGGGGTTACACCCTCAAAGATTTGTGAGGATTAAATAATCTGTAGTCAATGTTTAGAACAGCCTGTGGAACACAGTAAATGCTACGTAACACTAGAAACTGTTACTAGGAGCAGACTATCCAGTTTCACTCCCCAAACAACACCGTGGAGTGGGTGCAAGTTATTAGCTTTCATTGAGGAAACGGGCACAGAGAGGTCACAAGCAGTCACGAAGCAGGCAAGCCAAATGTGAAGGCAGGCAGTCTGGCTCTGAGGTCGTGGCTCTCAGCGCAGTGTCAGGCCTAGAGCAATAACTCAGTGAATGCTGGCGCTTTTATGATGAAGCCTTTATGACAACAGTAAGGGAAGCAATGACAGGCTTAACTCAAAAAAGCAACTTATTTTTCCTTTTTCTATGCTGCTTTTACAAGTTCTCCCCAATAGCTGTATCCGTATTATAGCAAACTATAATTCTACCTGCTTATTCAAAACACTACCACATGATGTGCTGTTGTGCATTTTTGAAAGCACTGAGTTCTAACAGTTGACACCTATGACTCCTATGTGACACAGAATCCTTCTACTGTAATAGTGAGGCAAATCTGCTTCCCACTTTCCCTCTCTACTGGTAGCATGCGACCATGCTACCCTAGAAGCAGTCGTCTCAAATCTTACATAGGGAAGAATCATTGCAATAACTACCCAAAAAAGAACATTCCAAGTAGCCAGTGTTGTGGCACAGTGGATCAACTTGCCCTTTGCAGCACCAGCATCCCATACTGGAGCACAGGTTCAAGTCCCATCTGTTCCACTTCTGATCCAGCTCCCTATTAATATACCTTCGAAGGCAGCCAAAGATGGCCCAAGTGCTTGGACCCCTGCTGCCCATGCGGGAGATCCAGATGGAGTTTCTGGCTAGTGGCTTCATCCTGGGCCCAGCCTTCTATAAGCTTCTATATGCTTCCATGAGCATTTGGGAGTGGACCAATCCCCAGACAGAAGATATATATATATTTCTCTCTCCCCCTTTCCCTCTCCCTCTCTAATAAATAAATAAATCTTTGAAAAACTTAAAGAGTGCCAGATCCCGTATCCAAAAATTCCACCTTAGTGGGCCTTGAGCAAGGCATAGGAATTTCCACTTCCAAAAAAAAAAATTTTTTTTTTGATTTTTTTTTTTTAATTTATTTGAAAGGCAGAGTAATAGAGGTAAAGAATGATATTCCATTTGCTGGTTTATTCCCCAAATGGCCACAATGGTTGTGGCTGGGCCAGGCCAAACCAGGCCCATGTTTCCCACATGAGTAGAAGGGGCCCAAGCATTTGAGCCATCTTGTGCTGCTTTTCCAGGCAAATTAGCAGGGAGCTGAATTGGAAGTGGAGCAGCTGGTACTCAGATCAGCTCTGATATGGGATGCTGGTGTCACAGTAGCTGACTTAATCTATGCCATTAACATGGTCCCCAGGAACCTCCACTTCTAATCAGTGACCTCAGGCTCTAATGCAGGTTAGACCAGGGCATGGTTTGCATTTTAGAGTAGTATTTGTTTAACATCTACTTCTTGCCTATGGATACCTCCTAACAGACCCTAGTTCCTACAGCACAGTATTAACACATATGTATTAAGTACCTATATAACAGAGATAGAGGAGAAACAAAACAAAGTCCTTGCTCTTAGAACTGACATACTGTGGCCGGGGTAGGGCAATTATGTGGTGCCACACAAATATATAAATGTGCATGTGTGTATGTATAGGGTATAATAAAATATATCAGGATAGCTAGGTTATTCTATGGCCACAAACAAGCTTAAAATCTCAGTGGCCTAAAACAACATGTCTATTTTTCATTCACCCTAATACATCCATCACCCCTTGACAAAGCTCTCTATTCTTTATGGTCACTCAGGGCCAAGAATAAGAGGAAAGAAAAGAAACAAGAATGACTATTAGATTTTTGGCCTTATAGTCACATTCCCCAACTCATTTTTTCATAGGGTATAACACCAACCAGGAAAGAATGAGGAAGGAAAATGGCAGGTCAAGCTCACTTAAGAACATAGATACAAACCACAGAACAACAGAGCACTTAATTGGCATTAAGACACACACTTTGAACACTTCAACATCTCTACAACCAGAATACATCTTAACAATATCTGGCACTTCATAATTATCATTAGCCAATTAAAAAATGAAAGCAACATTTCTGAAATACAGAGATGCATCTTATATCACTGGCATTTTCAATAAGAAAAAAATAGTAATAATAAAATATTGATGAATCAAATCCTAGAGCAAGTTCAATAAAAATAACAGTAATAATAATTTATGATCAATCTGGGTTTAGACCAGGAATGCAAGGTTGTTTTAACACTAGAATATCAATTAATGAATTAAATATAACATATTGTTCACAGAAAAAAAACTACTTGGTTATCACAAAAGGAACAGAACACTTCTTTGACAAAATTCAACAAGCATTTACTCTGGGAAAAGAATACTTCTTCGTATGCTAGGAACAAAAGGGGACTTCCTTAACCTGATTTTTATTTTTACTACAAAATACCTATTTACATTGAAAGCACTCCCTGTAGGATTTAGAACAAAACAAAGATGCCCATTATTACTACTTCAATTCAACACTGTATTCCAAGTTTATGCTGGTACTGTATAGCAGGAAAGAGAAATAAAAGGATTAAGGATAAGCAAGGAAGAACAAAAGTGTCATTATTTGTAAATGATAGCACTGTCTTCATAGAAATAATCTAGCAGACTTTCCCTACCAAATATCAAGACCTGTTATAAAACTACAATATGTAAGACAATGTGACATCAACCAAAAAAAAAAAAAAAAAAAGAAGAAGAATGAAAGAAAACTAACACCCTGAACAGAATAAAGCAGCACAAAGTTAGACCCTCTCAAAAATGGACACTTGATAGAAACTGATGTGGGAGAAGTGACACTGCTGCTCCAAGGGAAAGGTGAGACTTTTCAATACACAGCACTGTGATGCCAAGGCAGACATACAGGGGTATAAGAAAGGCAGTCTAACCCCACACTCCACACTCAAAAGTTAAGTCCTAGTGATCTGAAGATCTAAATGTGAAAAGCAAGTCTCTAAAGGTTTGCAAGCATAACAGAATACTTTATGACCTCAGGATACAGGTTTCTGGGGAAAAAAAATACAGAGACTGTCACCGTGGTGCAGCATCTTTAACCCCAACTTGTGATGCCAGCATTCCATTTGGGAGCCAGTTCCAGTCCCGGCTGCTCCACCTCCTATCCAGCTTCTTGCTAATGTGCCTGGGAAGGCAGCAGAAGAGGGCCCAAGTGATTAGGTCCCTGCAACCACATAGGAGACCATATGGAATTCCTGGATCCTGGCTTCAACCTTGCCCTGCCCTGGTCCTTGTGGCCTTTTGCGGGAGTGAATCAGCAGGTGAAGATCTTTATCTCTGTCTCTCCTCTAACTCTACCTCTCAAGTAAGTAAATAATCTTTTAAAAATACACAAACATAAGTGAAGCAATATGAATATAAATCTGACTTAAGAATTGCCATTCATCAGATAACTGCATAAAGACAGTAAAAAAGAAAACCTCAAAAATTTGTGTCAAAAACATATAAGGAACATCTAAGAATCAACAGGAGACTAGCAAACAAATAATGAGTAACCACAAGGAAGGGAGGGAGGGAGGGAGGAGAGGGAAGGACCACCACAGGAACTTCAAAGGAAAGGGAAATGAACAGCCTACAATCACACAAAAATATGTTCAATCTTATTCTCTTAGCACCAACTTTCCTGAAAATATTTCATTTTGATGAAGTCTAAGTTACCGCTTTGTTTTATGAATCATCCCTTTGGTATCATGTCTAAGAACTTTCTGCCTACCAAAAGTTCATGAAGATTATTTCTGGCTGGCGCCAAGGCTCACTAGGCTAATCCTCCGCCTTGCAGCACCAGCACACCGGGTTCTAGTCCCAGTCGGGATGCCGGATTCTGTCCCGGTTGCCCCTCTTCCAGGCCAGCTCTCTGCTGTGGCCAGGGAGTGCAGTGGAGGATGGCCCAAGTGCTTGGGCCCTGCACCCGCATGGGAGACCAGGAGAAGTACCTGGCTCCTGCCATCGGATCAGCGCGGTGTGCCGGCCACAGTGCGCCAGCCGCGGCGGCCATTGGAGGGTGAACCAACGGCAAAGGAAGACCTTTCTCTCTGTCTCTCTCTCTCACTGTCCACTCTGCCTGTCAAAAAAATAAATAAAAGATTATTTCTGATATTTTCTCAAAAAGTTTTGAAATTTCACATTTACATCTGTGATCAACCCTGAGTTCATCTGTGAATAATGTGTGAAGTACATATGCAGGGTTATTTTTTGCATAAGATATTCAATTATTCAGTACCATCTATTGAAAATAATATCCTTTCCGGCCGGCGCCGTGGCTCAATAGGCTAATCCTCCACCTTGCGGCGCCGGCACACCGGGTTCTAGTCCCAGTCGGGGCGCCGGATTCTGTCCCGGTTGCCCCTCTTCCAGGCCAGCTCTCTGCTATGGCCAGGGAGTGCAGTGGACGATGGCCCAGGTGCTTGGGCCCTGCACCCCATGGGAGACCAGGAAAAGCACCTGGATCCTGGCTCCTGCCATCGGATCAGCGCGGTGCGCCGGCTGCAGCGGCAGCCATTGGAGGGTGAACCAACGGCAAAGGAAGACCTTTCTCTCTGTCTCTCTCTCTCACTGTCCACTATGCCTGTCAGAAAAAAAAAAAAAAAGAATATCCTTTCTTCTGTAACTGCAGTCGAACTTTTTCACAAATCAACTGTCCATACAGTACAGATTCATCCTGGGCATGCCAGTATGTGCCCCCTGACTGTGTGATCAGACTGACTCCACTGTTGTGCAGGTTGATTTTATGTGTCCTCTGCTTAGGCTGGAGAACCCAAATATGTGGTCAAACACTAGTTTAGATATTGCTGTGTATGTAGTTTTTAGATGTGATTAAAATTTAAATAAGCACATTCTGAGCATAGCAGAGAGCCCTTCAAAATGTGGGTGGGCCTCGTGCATGCAGCAGGAGGCTTGAAGAGAAAAAAACTGACATCCCATAGGAAGAAGGAATTCTGTCTGCAGATCACATTCTGACTCACCTGCTTACCTACCCTGCAGATTTTGGACTTGCCAAACTCCACAGGTATGTGAGCCAATTCATATACTCATGTATGTATGTACGTACATATGTATGTATACATTCTGCTTCCCTGGAGAACTCTGACCTACACCGTTTCCCTAGGCTCACAAAATCTTTTTTTTTTTTTAATTTTTCCCCCCAAAAGAAATCTTTTATTTAGGGAATACAAACTTCATACATTTCCTAAGTACAACTTTAGGAATACAGTGATTCTCCCCATTATATCCACCTTCCTACCCACTCTCCCACCCCACCCCCTCCTCCCTCTCCCATTTCCAGTCCCATTCACCACTAAGATCCACTTTCGATTAACTTTATACACTGAAGACCAACTCTATACTAAGAGTTCAACAATTTGCATGGTAAAAAACCAATCAACTAAAAACAAAACCTGTTCCTCAACAGTCAAGACAAGAGCTGATCAAATTCATTGCATCTTGAAGTTAATTTCACTTTTTTTTTTTTTTAAGAAACTTAATTAACTTTAACAAAGCCCACAAGAATGATACATCTTTTGGGAGTACTTAGACATAGTTATAATACAACTTTCTGAGGACAGAGGTCCTGCATTGGAAGTTAGTGCATAGTGACTTTTGTTAATTTAACAATTAGCACACTTAGGTATGACGTCAGTGATCACCTGAGGCTCTTGATGTAAGCTGCCTAGGCTATGGAAGCCTTTTGAATCCACGAATTCCATCAGTATTTAGACAAAGCCATAAGCAAAGTGGAAGTTATTCTCCTCCCTTCAGAGAAAAGTACCTCCTTTCTTTCCACTGGGGTCTCAGCCACTGAGATCCTTCAGGTAGGACATTTTTTTTTTTTTTTTACCTCAGTGTCTTTGTTTTCCATGCCTGAAATGCTCTCATGGGCTTTTCAGCTAGACCAGAATGACTTAAGGGCTGATTCTGAGGTCAGAGTGCTATTTAGAGCAATTATCATTCTGTGAGTCTGCTGTGTGGACTGCTTCCCACGTTGGAGCATTCACATAATTTTAATTCAATGTATTAGTATTACCAGACCCTTAATCCTATCCATATGATCACTTTAACACTTCAGGTGGTATTTTTTACCAACCAGCTTAAGGGGATTTGGGACCCTATGGCAAGTTTTTAAACTGTACCCTTAGAAGTAAGTCCATAGGAATGTATGCAGAACTATACAGCTTTACAAACTTCATACACAACAGTTACCCTGCTGTTTCCTCGCGGATTTTCCATCTAGTTATCTGTCCTTTGCTGAGAGTGGGGTACTGAAGTCCCCCATTACTACTGTATTTGAGTCTATGCCTTCCTTTAGATTCCTTAACATTTCTTTTAAATAAACAGATGCCCTATAATTAGGTACACATACATTTATAACAGTTATATCTTCCTGTTGAATTGATCCCTTAATCATTACATAGTGCCCTTCTTTGTCTCTTTTAATAGGTTTTGTGTTAAAGTCTATTTTGTCTTATTTTAGGATGGCTACATCAGCTCTTTTTTGGTTTCTATTAGAATGGATTATCTTTTTCCATCCTTTCACTTTGAGTCTGCATTATCTTTGTTGGTGAGATTTGTTTCTTGTAGGCAGCAAATAAATACGTTTTGTTTTTTAATCCATTCAGCCAGTCTGTGTCTTTTAACTGGAGAGTTGAAGCCATTTACAATCAAAGTGACTATTGATAAGTAATGATTTTGCCCTGCCTTTTTTTCATAAATATTCCTACTTTTACCTTGGATTTCCTTTGTGCTCTTACTGGGAGATTTAGTTCCTTTAGCATCTTTCACAGTGATGACCATGTTTCTGTGTGTAACACATACTTAAACATCTTTTGCAAGGATGGACAGATGGTGACAAATTCTTTCAATTTCTGTTCATCTTGGAATATCTTTATTTCACCTGCATTCATAAATTAGTGCTTTGCAGGGTACAGTATTCTGGGTTGACAGTTCATTTCTCTTAAGTCTTGGAATATATCTTGCCATTCTCTCCTAGCCTTCGAGGTTCCTTCGGCTGTGAGTCTAATTAGAGATCCTCTGAAAGTAACCCAGCATTTCTCTCCTTCACATTTTAGAATCTTTTCTTTATGTTCTACTGTGGAGAGTTTGATTACAATGTGTTGTGGTGAAGATCTCTTCTGGTTATGTCTATTAGGAGTTCTATGTGCTTCCCGTACTTGCATGTCCTGTTCTTTCTCCAAATTAGGGAAGCTTCCTGTTATTATTTCACTAAACAGGCCTTCTAATCCTTTCTCCCTTTCCATGCCTTCAGGAACTCCTAGAACCCATATGTTAGGTCATTTGATAGTATCCTGTAGATTACTACCAACAGTGTTTTTAAGTTTTCTAATTTCCTCTTTCTTGTTTTTTGTCTGACTGTATAGTTTCCTGCAATTTGTCTTCTAAGTCGGATATTCTTTCTTCTGCTTCACCAATTCTGTTGTTAAGACTTTCTAGTGTATTTTTATTTGTTCTATTGAATTCTTCATTTCCAAGATTTCAGTTCGCTTTCTCTTTAAGATCTCAATTTCGTGAGAGAAAATTTCTTTCACATCATGTACGGATTTCATTGGTTTGTGCATTGCTTCTGATTACTTCTATGTAATCATCAATTTTTTGAATTCCATTTCTTGCATTTTTTCAAACTCTTCATCTTCACAATCTAGTAATGAAGCGTCGTATTATTTTGGGGGCATGATGTTGTGTTCCTGATTCTTGTTTCTTGAATTGGTGTGTTTATTATTCAGCATTTGTGGGAACAAATGCCATTAGTTTCTTCTTCTTCTTCTTCTTTTTTTTTTTTTTTTTCTGTGGCAACTTTCATCTTCGGACAATGTCTGTGGATTAGTGGAGCACCTGGAGGCATGTGGTGGGTGTGGCCAGGGAGCTCTGCTCAGTACTCCAGGGTGAAGGGAGTGTTAAGGTGACAACCAGGTTGGGCATAGTAAATCTCTTAATTTTTTTTCTGATCAGAGGGGAGGTTTTTCTTCTGTTGGTGTAGACTCAGCTCATTTTCTCTTCTCAAAGGAGACCAGTGCCTGGGCGCTAGCCCCAGTGGGTATAATATTCATCTGCACTTCTACAAGGACCCACAAAGGATCTGTGCAGTCCTCCGTGTAAGCAGATTCCCCAGAAATGTCCCTCACCAGGGAACCAGGGAGCCCTGAGTGTATGGAGCCTCCCATAGTGACTGCTCAAAGTCCCTGATACATCGAGTCTTCCCACACAGCCTCAGTGTTTTCACAGTCCTGGCACACAAGCCTCCCACAGTCACAAGCACCCGACCCCCACCCTCCCACCATCAGTTCTCCCTGCCAGACTCAGGAGTCTCCGCTCAGCTGGTTGCTGGGTGCAGACATGAGCTGGCACAGGTATTAGGTATGTCCAAAATGGCACCCACTCTCTATCGACTTGTTACAGGATGCTGTTGCGTGATTGGGGAGAGAGAAACATGACCCCCCCCCCTTTTTTTCCTCCTCTAGTTTGGCAGATACACTAACCCCCACAGGGCTCCATGCCAGATTCTCTCCTGGCTTTTCCTGTAGCTTTATCACCAGTGGATTCGGCTGCTGCAATCTGGCCTCACCTCTCTCCAAAGCTGGTGCGGAGGCTCTCGACTGCTAGGATCCTGATTTGTGCGTGCCCACACCCTTCACATAGGTCCACTATGTTCCTCTAATTTGCATGGAGTTTCCTCTGCCATTTTCTCCCTAATTCTTCCCTGAAACTGTACTATCGCCACATTTTTTAAACCATCTTCTCCTGGACTAGAGCAATAAGCTCCCTCCCTACTTCACCATCTTAATCCAGTCCCCACAAAGCCTTAACATTGGATAATGTGACTTCTCCAACTTCATTCTTCATTTTCACAATTCTTTATTCTAATTTTTACCTTTTCATATAAATTTTAGAATTAGCCTATCTGTATCTATAAAAATCCCACTGATAGGCAGGCATTTGACACAGGAGCCAAAATGCTGCTAGGGATGTCCATGTTCCACATCAGAGGGCTTTGGGTTCAAGACCTGGCTCTGCTCCCAATTCCAGGTTCCTGCTGATGTGCACCCTGGAAGGCAGCAAGTGATGGCTCAAGTACATGGGTCCCTGCCATGCAACTGAGAGACTCAGATGGAGTTCCCTCTACCCAGCTTCAGCCTAGCCCAACTCTGGCTGTTGTAAGTATTTAGTGAATGAACCAGCAGACAAAAGATCTTTCTCATCTTTTTCTCTGTGTCTGTCTGCCTTTCAAATAAAATGAAAATAATTTTTAAAAAATTAAACAATACTAAGATTTTTATTTTTAATTTGGGAAAACTGATACCTTTAGTACACTTAGGATTTTTTTTTTTTTTAAGATTTATTTATTTATTTGAAAGGCACAGTTACAGAGAGAGAGGGAGATACATATAGAGAGATCTTCCATTTGCTGGTACACTCCCCAAATGACTGCAAGCAATGGTCAGGGCTAGGTCAGGCTGAAGCCAGGAGCCTGGAATTCCATCCAGGTCTCCCACATAGATTCAGAGGCCCAAGAACTTGGGCCATCTTCTGCTGCTTTCCCAGGCACATTAGCAGGGAGCTGGATTGGAAGTGGAACAGCTGGGACTCAAACCAGCTATACGGGATGCCAGTGTCACAGGCAGCAGCTTAAACCACTATCCCACAATGCTGTCCCCTATGTGTAGGATTCTAATCCATGAATGTATCTCCCCATTTATTTAAGTATTCATTGATTTCTTTCATCAGCATTTTTTGAGTTTTCAGAATATGGCTTCAATACATGTTTGGTTAGGTTTCTATCTAAATATTTCCTTTCTTGAAGTTATTATAATGATATTGCTTTAATTTTGATTTCCAGTTGTCCATCCACTGCCAGCTTATAAAAATACTGAGTAGGTATATGTACACACTCCACCCTCAAAGAGGCGGAGCATAACTCCCCAAACATTGAGTGGGTCTGTATATAGTGACTCAGGAGTAACAGTACAGTACAAACTAAAGTCAAGGTCAGTGGTGCTCAGTTTTACAAAACTGCCTGTGGTAATTGTGGCAGGTGACAGGTTAGGGAACCAATGATGTATTAGCAGACCAGCTGCAAGTGTGATGTATTTGTATTCTCTATGTACCTAGAGATAGTACTCGCTAACTTCAGAAGGTATGCTGTAACTGTCAGTGATTAATAGGTGCTGCAAGATGCCTGTCTCTCTATGATTAATGAAGTCAGTTTTATCTTCTTCATGGCTTTCAGATACACAGAGATATAGTCCATAAATTGGGGTTCCCAATAGCTGCATCAGTTAACAGCCTTTACTTCAACCTCTATACCTATGACTGTAGTATAAAACTACAAGCAGCAGAATTTTCTATACATCACTCGCCAGGAACCTCCCCCAAATTATATGGCAATTCAGTAAAGGCTTTTGAAAGAAAAAATGGTTCATTTGTCACCAGAGCTTTTAAAATATACCACTTCAGCTCAGAAGCAGATGCCATCCACTGATTACACACAAGAGCTTTAACACAGGAGGAAACTCTATTTCTTGGCAATGTTTACACATTCAAATACCTTTCTTAAAGGTATTCCAAAAGCAAAACCTGTATTTCCACCACCCCTGCTTCCTCAGACTCCTCTTGATACAAGATGATAACATACTTCAGTGAGAGCCTGCAATAAGGGAGAAAAATCCCAGCTTTCACTATAAAAAGGCAAATGAAGCACAAAAGCTTTTTTCCCCCTTCTGGATGCCATGGGAGCTTGAGAACTTTTACAAAACATCAAACCAATAAGCCAACTCCTGATAAGAAGCTGAAGCTTTTCCTCTGTTCTTTCTCTTTTTACAAATTAATTCTCAACCTGTTTTTAGTCACTCCCAAGGAAAAGCTAGGACTTCAGATATGGTTTAATGCAGACCAGCCTCTGCCCCCAGGAGGCTGGGCCATCAAACCCTTACACTCCTGAGGCAATGGTCATTTACACTGTCTTTTCACTGCCCTGTGGTTCCTCATTATGCACTCTACTCTTTTCCACAAGGATTTTCATGGCGTTATTTGTAACTTTATTTAGGAGTCTCAGCATATTGAACACACTTTGTAATGGAAGATTCCAAAATGATCGGTTTCTGAAGCGTCCAATCTTCTCACCCACCAAACCCATTCCAGGTTTGAAACAGGACAACTTGTTTGGGAAAGTCAGATTTATTAAAGTATAATTAAATACCATAAAATTTACTCTTTGGGAGAGTAAAGTTCAATTAATTCTGACAAATGCACACTACTGTAAAACCACCACCTCAATCAAGACAGAGAACATTTATTTCCATGCTCTCCAAAACTTCCTTCCTTCCCCTACCATGGTCAATTGCTCCCTCTACCCCTATCAACTGCTAATCTGTTCTTTGATCCTGTAGTTTTCCTTTTCAAGAATGTTATATACAGTGAATCATCCAGTATATAACCACTTGAATTTGGTTTCTTCGCTTAGCCCAGGTACTCTGAGTATGTAGGGAAGGTTAGGAGAGGCGAGGGAGGTTGATACTGCCCCCGGGATATGGAAATGTGTTCCTATGTGTTTTTACAAGGGTCTGGGTCCTCCATGAGGCCAGGCACATAGTAAAATTTCATGAGAGGAATGGGTAACTAGAGGAAAAAACATCTACAGGGTCTGAGGGGATAATAATAAAAACTGGAGAAAAATTAATTTACCATAATACATTCAAGATTCATCCGTGTTGTTGAATGTATCAACAGCTTGCTCCTTTTTACTACTAAGTATTCAGTGATTGGTGGGCATCTGTCTTCGATTCTCTTGAGGAAAATCTAGGAGTGGGATTGCTGGACAGAACAGTAAAGGTGTATTAAACCGCTTACTTAATAATCTCCACAAACTCTTTTAGTGGGCTTTTGTAACAAACTTTACAGAACTGTGTAGGTTTTTTTTAATATATATATAAAATTGAATCTTGTTCTACCACATTCACATCTTAGCCAGGTCAGTGACCAGGATATCAACCATTCCCAAAGTTCCAATTACTGTGAGTGTAAATGTATATCACTCTACGACCTCATGTACATCACACAGTGTCATGTACATCACCTGTACAGGATGTCCTACATTAATATATTAATACTTACATCTGTCTCTCCTGAGCTCCAGATTTAGAGAGTCAGATGATAACTCCACATCTTCACCTGCCTCTGTCACCAATGCCCTAAATTCGAGGTGTAAAATTGAATTCAACTTGCTCTCTTTCTAGTGTTAACTGATTTGCCAAATGATATTACCATACACCCAAATGCTCAAGACAGAAATGCTAGGAGCCATCCCTCAACTTCACCCCTAATATCCAATCAATCAACAGATCTTCCTGCTCCTTAGCGCTACATCTCTCTTTACATACAGTCTCTCAATCTCTATCTACACAGCCACTGTCTGAATCCAAGTCCGAGTCACCTCTGCCTGAACTACTGATGGCTGATTAGTTATCTTCCTCCTGCATCACTGCCCCTCCCCCAACAATCTGTTTTCCACTTCCCATAAACTGATTATCGAAGTTAGAGTATACACTTAAAATGGAATATAATGTAGCCATACAAAGAATGAAGTGGACCTTTTTACACCTCCATGGAATGGCATCTAAAATATGTTAACTGAGAAAAGCAAGGGTAAGTAGAACAGCTGGTATAATATTTTGATATTTATGTTAAATAAAAAAAGATGAGGAAAATAGTAACTATGAATCTGCCTGTATGTACATAGAACAGCTATGGAAGAATCCAGGCCAAGGGACTGGGTGAAGGGAAAACAGATGGGAAGGACAAGACAGTGCTTTCGCCTTAACATCTTTTGAATTATGTGTTTGTTTTACCTATTCAAAAATAAATGAAAAATCAAAATTGAATAAAAATATCTTGTTCTAAGAGTAAATCACCAAGACATCAGTCTAACCCCTAAGTCTCCAATCCTACATCAAGCCTCTCTATCTCCCTTCTCCACAGCCACACCCCCCCCCCCCATTTCCCCCATCCCTGTTTCACACATGCACTGGATTTTTTCTGAACTTTCAAGGATCAGAGACTTCTCACACACTCTTCCCTCAGTCCCCTGCCAAGGCTGCACCCCTGCCCTTTTCCAGCCACAGGTTTCCCTGCTCCCAAAGTCAATGGCCACCTACTCTCATTACCCTCTGTACTTCTCCTCAGTATACTCGGATGCTTAAAACAAAACCTAGCCAGGCACCAAATGTCTGGGTCCCCCAGGCAAATTACTTATCTTTTCCAAACCCCTCTGCAAAATGCACAAAGTCACATCTGCCTCTTAGAGTTGCCCTAGAGCACTAAGGAAGGCACCAAAGAATCAAGCACATAATGAGCGCCCTGCAGAAGCCCAGGAATGAGTGCAGCACCCACACAGCTTGCATGCCTCTAAGTTGAAGTGACTGTTCTGCCGTGAAGAACAAGAGATTTGTTTAACAGAGAAACCAAGGCACAGAGATAAAAACATAAAGGAAACACATGTAGAAACAGTGAAGGATATCACAGAGAACAAGGCAACAACTGGTGAAGCTGCAGAAGCCCCTACTCTGACATCTCCAGGAGAGAGAACAGATGCTAGGAGTGTGAAAAAGGCAAGAGACAAAAACCCTGGCAGCCCTGCACTCTGCTGAATGGGAAGGAGGGAGCTCTGGGCAATACAGAATGGATGGATTGTGCAGCTGGCACAAGAGACCAAACAATGGCAGAACTGGCTCCAATGCAACAGCCATCAGTGACCTGAATTCTAACCTTTTCTAGTATAAGGCCAGGAGTACATAAATGGTTAAGTTCAACTTCATGAGAAAACGAACATGTGCATAGACTTACAAAGAACACGTACGCAGACATGCAAACATCTGACCCATTGGTCCAAAACAATCTAACCTGTATACCATCACTCATTAGAAAGGGCAGCCATACAAATTCTTGGTAGCAGCAGGAATGACAAACACAACTTGAAGACAGCCTGAAGCATACTTCAAACAGCTGAATTAGCTCGTTATTAGGAAAAAGGTGCTGTCTTCTTAGCATTGTATACACTAGTCCTATCTCTCCCACAGAAGTTTAAGCTTTCTTTCATATGACAGACTTTCAAATATTTGTAGATTATTTTTAGTAGGTGACCATATGTTTCCATTTGCAAGTCCTTGTTTATGCTCACCATCCCAGCATGCTAATTAACAGTGCACTCTTCCACATTCACAGAGTCCTGGTTTGGATAATAAACGATATGCTCACCTGGTTCTAAGAGTCACTCTCAACCCACTCCAAAATAAGTCTCTTCTTCAGGCTTAGCATTCACCTTTACACCAAGCATTCCTCCTGTAACACAATTTCCAGTCCTTCTACCGTCCCCTAAGTCCTTAGCTTGGAATGAGTTCCAGGTAACTTATCTGTATACCGAATGCAACTTTCCAGGTAGAGCATCACATGACAAAGAAGAATTTATTCTTCTAATCATATATAAGATCACCTCAGCATTTCTAGAAACGAGCTCACATTCTTTACTTATGCTGAACCCAAATTAAAACTTCTAAGACATCTCCCCTTTTACTTCCTCTAGGCAACACTGCACTTGGGTAACAGGTCACTCAGTTACTAACACACCTAACCACAAGATTAGCGAGTCCATATTCTCCCATGTTCTTCCTAAGAATGTTATAAAATATCTTGTTCAAATCTACTATGTCAATTGTATGGGATTTTTTTACTATGTTATTCTGGAAGTGATAACTAGATGCCAGCATGGAAAAAACCTGAAAACAGTTGGAGAACCAGAACAGAAGTACATTCACTCATTCATTCATAGATTCATTCTATAAATACAGCTGCTAGTGTGGGAATCTGGCCTAGTGATTAAGATTCCAGTTGAGAAGCCTGTCTGCCACACTGGACAACCTGGTTCAATGTCCAGCTTCAGCTCCCAATTCCAGCTTTCCTGTCATTATGGACCTCTGGAGGTAGCTGGTACTAACTCAAGTAATTGGGTCCCCTACTACCCATATAGGAGACCTAGACTGGGCTGCCAGCTCCAGCTCCAGGCCCAGCCAACCTAGCTGTTGGAAACATTTGGGAAGCAAACTAGCAGATGGTAGCTGTCTTTCTCTTTCTGCCTCCCAAATATGTGTATGTGCCAAGCATTGTGTTACCTTGGTGATAAAATGGGTAACAAGATGCAAGGCTCTTACCAATGCAGCATTTTGAAAAACACACCCCAGTTTCTTAAAAAACAAAACCCCCATTTTTATAAGGTTGGAAAACTGAATAGGGAATTAAAGATGAAGGTGGAGCATAAGAAAAGCAACTGATAGCAAGAGCCAAGGAAAGAGACATTCTGATGAGAAGTCAAAGACCTGAGAGCTTTGGTCCTCAGAGTTACAATGGTGTAAATGTCACTGGAAGCAAAATTAGTTTGCAATGGAAAGGTAATGAGTTTGCCCTTGAATATATTAAATAATGATAGGAAAACATTTCCATGACAATTTGAAGGTTAAATATATAAAATGATTCTTTTTTAAAAGAAAAGTAGATGAATATTTTCATAATCTTCACATTGAGAAAGTCTTTTAGGCACTATATAAAATCTAAAAAGCATAAATGAAAGGACTAGTAAATTTGATTAAATTAAAATTCAAAGCATTGAATGCACATATATGTAACACATTACACCAGGCTAACTAACCTACTAACTTACATAAGAACTTTCACAAGTGGAGAGAGAGACAGACAGAGAGAACCCAATTTAAATATCAGAAAAAGATTTTACATGGAAGCAACTAAAAGAATTCAATATAATGAAATTACATATATGAAGACAATAAAGTTCCTCAGTTATCACACTCCCATTAGAGCAGTAAAGTATGAAGACTAAAGATTCCAGAACCAGCAAAATTGGGAGATAACAAGCATTCTTAAACACTACTAGCAGGAAAGAACATGCTTTGTGATGTCAAATTGATAATATGTATTAAAAGGAGACATGCACATGGTCAGCAATTTCCCACAGAGAAATTTGTCCTATAAAAAACTGTGCACTTGGAAAGAGAGAATGGACTAGAAGACCTATTTAGTGATAAAATTACAGAAAACATCCCCAATTAGGAGAAAGAAAGGGACGTGCAAGTACAGGAAGCACATACAACTCCTAGTTAAATGACCAGAAAAGATCCTTACCATGACACTATAGTCAACTCTCAACTATAAAACATAAAGAAAAAGTTCTAAAATGTTCACCAGATTACTTTCAGAGGATCTCTAATTAGACTCACAGCAGACTTCTCATCAGAAATCCTACAGGCTAGGAGAGAATGGCGAGATATAGTCCAAATCTTAAGAGAAAAGCACTGTCAACCCAGAATACAATACCCTGTGAAGTTCTCCTTTATGAATGAAGGTGAAATATAAACCTTTCATAACAAACAGAAATGGAAAGAATCTATCACCAGGCATCCAGCTTTATAAAAGATGCTTAAGGAAGTACTACACACAGAAACACAGAAACATGGTCAGCACTACGAAAGAAGGTGAAGGCCAAAAATCTCCCAGTGAAAATACAAAGAAAATCCAAAGTAAACAATAGGAATATTTATAGAAAAATGGCAGGTCCAAGTCATTACTTATCAATAGTCACTTTGCATGTAAATGGCCTCAACCTTCCGGCTAAAAGATACAGACTGAGTAGATTAAAAACAAAACCCATCTATTTGCTGCCTATAAGAAACACATTTCAAAAAGATACACACAGACTAAAAGTCAAAGGATGAGAAAAGATAGTGCAAGCTAACAGAAACCAATAAAGAGCTGGTATAGACATCCTAATATCAGACAAAATAGACTTTAACACAAAAACTGTGAAAAGAGAGAAGTGCACTATGTAATGAACAATGTGGGGAGCAACCCGGACTAGACTAAGTTACTGGAATTAAGACTTATTCTATGCATCTGCTCTCCCACAATATGGCGCTGGGAGAGGAGAAAACAGCTTCTACACAGCTGCCTCCAATTCAACCAATAAACAGCAGGACCTGCTCCTGATTGGAGGAGAGCAGCGTACTCGGCGTGTGGGCAGCCGAGTTGGGATTGGTGGAAGAGGACTATAAAGGAGGAGAGAGACAACATGCACCGGGAACATCTAAGAGGAACATCTTAAGGGACACCTGTGCAGCCCCCGAGAGAGCCGCCGGTGGTGTGCCGCTCCCCCGCGGAAGTGGAGAAAGTGGCCAGGGGGAACCGCCCTTCCACGGAGGTGGAAGGGACGGTAGCCAACCCGGGAAGAACCAGCAGCAAACCCGGGGAGGGCCGAGCAGACAAAAGAACAGCGCAGGGTCCTGTGTCGTTCCTCCACGAAGAGGGGGAGCGACAGAATAAGGGATCAATTCAACAGGAAGATGTGACTATAATAAATGTATATGCGACCGATTACAGGGCTCCTGGCTATTTAAAAGAATGTTAAAGGATCTAGCATACTGTATCTTACATACATACAATACCACAGTAATGGAGGATGTCCATATCCCACTTTCAGCAATGGACAAATCAACCAGACAGAAAATCAACAAAGAAACAACAGAGCTAATCGACATGGCAGACCAAACATATATCCACAAAATTATTCATCCCACAGTTGCAAAAGACACAATCTTCTCCTCAGTGCCCAGAACTTTCCCTAGTATAGACCATATGCTAGGCCATAAAGCAAGTCTCAGAAGATTCAAAAAAATCCAAACCATACCATGTATCTTCTCAGGCCACAATGTAATGAAGCAGGAAATGAGCAACTCAAGAGATCTCTAGAACATATACAAACACATGGAGACTGAACAACATGCTCCTGAATGAACAATGGGTCACAGAAAAAATAAAAAGAGCAATTAAAACATTTCTGTAAATGAATGAACAAAACAACGCAACACATCAAAACTTACAGGATACAGCAAAAGCAGTGCTAAGTGGGAAGTTTACAGCAATTGGTGGCTGCATCAAAAAATTGGAAAGGCACCAAATAAATAAGCTATCAGTGCATCGCAAAACCTAGAAAAACAATAGCAAATCAAACCAAAAACTAGGAGAAAATAAAGAATTTAAATTAGATCAGAAATAAACAAAATTAAAAACAAAACATAATTCAAAAGATCAGTGAAATGAAGAACTGGTTTTTTGAAAAAATAAACAAAATTGATACACCATTGGCCCAACTAATCAAAAAAAATAATAATAAATAAAAGAAGGAGAAGACTCAAATGAATAAAATCAGAGATGAAAAAGAAAATGTGGGGCTGGCACTGTGGCTCAGTAGGCTAATCCTTCACCTGCGGCGCCGGCATCCCATATGGGCTCTGGCTTCTAGTCCCAGTTGCCCCTCTTCCAGTCCAGCTCTCTGCTGTGGCCCGGGAGGGTGGTGGAAGATGCCCCAGGTGCTTGGGCCCTTGCACCCACATGGGAGACCAGGAAGAAGCACCTGGCTCCTGGCCTCGGATTGGCGCAGCACCGGCCATAGTGCCCATTTGGGGAGTGAACCAACAACAGCAAGACCTTTCTCTCTGTCTCTCTCTCTCACTGTCTATAACTCTACCTGTCAAATGAAAAAGAAAAAGAAAAAGAAAATGTAACAACAGATACCACAGAAACAAAAAGAATAATCAGAAATTACTACAAATTGCTGTATGCCAAAAAATTAGGAAACCTAGTAGAAATGGATAGATTCCTGGACACAATCTACTAAAATTGGATCATGAAGACACAGACAAGGTAAACAGACCAATGACCAAGACATAAATTGAATCAGTAATAAAGGCCCTCCCAAAAAAGAAAAGCCCAGGTCTGGATGGCTTCACTGCTGAATTCTACCAGAAATTTAATGAAGAACTAATTACAATTCTTCCCAAGTTATTGAAAACAACAGAAAAGGAGGGGATCCTCCCAAACGTGTTCTATGAAGCCAGCTCATCTTAATTTCTAAATCTAAAAAATTAGAAAGAGAAAGAGAATAGACCAATATCACTGATGAACACAGACGCAAAAATCCTCAACAAAATTACTAATCAAATCCAACAACACATCACAAAAATCATTCACCTGGACCAAGTGAGATTTACCCCTGGTATGCAGGGATGGTTCAACATTCGCTAATCAATAAATGTGATACATCACATTAACACATTGAAGAACAAAAGCTATTTCAATAGAAGCAAAAAAAGCATTTCATAAAATACAACATCCTTTCATGATGAAAACCTTGAGCAATCTGGGCATAGAAGGAACATTCCTCAACACAATCAAGGCAATCTATGACAAATAGATTGTCCACAGCCAGCGTCTTATTGAGTGGGGAAAAATTAGAAACAGTCCCATTATGATCTGGAACCAGACAAGGATGCTCACTCACACTACTGCTATTCAATTCAGTCCTGGAAGTTTTAGCCAGAGCCATTAGGCAAGAAAAGTAAATAAAAGGGATACAAATTGGGAAGGAGGAAGTCAAACTATCCCTATTTGCAGATAACATATGTAGGCAATCCAAAAGACTCCACTAAGAGACTACTGGAACTCATAAAAGCGTTTGGTAAAGTGGAAGGATGTAAAATTAACACACAAAAATCAATAGCCTTTGAATATACACAGACAATGTCATGGCTGAGAAAGAACTTCTAAGATCAATCCCATTCACAATAGCAACAAAAAAAAAATTAAATACCTTGAAGTAAATTTAACCAAGAATGCCAAAATCTCTATGATGAAAATTATAAAACATTAAAGAAAGAAATAGAAGACACAAAAAATAGAAAAATGTCCATGTTTATGAATTGGAAAAATCAGTATCATAAAAATGTCCATATTACTGATAGCAATTTACAGGTTCAATGTGATACCAATCAAAATATCAATGATCTTCTCAGATCTTGAAAAAAATGATGCTGAAATTCATATGGAAACATAGGAGACCCCAAATAGTTAAAGTAATCTTAACAAAAACAAAGCTGGAGGCATCATGATAACCAATTTCAAGACATACTACAGTGCAGTTATAATAAAAACAGCTTGGTAATGGCAAAAAAAAAAAAAATAGACATGTAGACCAATGGAACAGAATAAAAATTCCAGAAATCAATCCTTGCATCTACAACCAACTTGTCTTTGTCAAAGGAGCTAAAATCAATCCCTGAAGCAAGGACAGTCTCTTCAACAAATGGTGCTGGGAAAACTGGATCTGCACACTCAAGCAAGACACCGACTTTACACTTTACACAAAAAATCTACTCAAAATCAATCAAAGACCTAAATCTACAAAGTGATACCATCAAATCACTAGAAAACACTAGGGAAACCCTAAAAGACATTGGCACAAGCAATGTCTTGGAAAAGACCCCAGAAGCACAGGCAATCAAAGCCAAAATTAACAAATGGGAATATATCAAGCTAAGAACCTTCTGCACTGCAAAAGAAACACTCAGCAAAGTGAAGGGGCAACTGACAAAATGGAAGAAATTATTTGCAAACTATGTAACTGATAAAGAATTAAGATCCAGAATCTATAAAGAGCTCAAGAAACTCAACAACAACCAAACAAACAATCCATTTAAGAAACAGGAGAAGGACTTGAACAGACATTTTTCAAGACAGGAAATTCAAACAGCCAATAGACACATGAAAAAAATGCTCAGGATCACTTGCCATCAGGGAAATGCAAATCAAAACCAAAATGAGATTTCACCTCACCCCCATTAGAAGGGTTCTCATATAGAAATCAACAAAAAACAAATGCTGGAGAGGATGTGAGGGAAAAGGTACTCTAATCCACCGTTGGTGGGAATGCAAACTGGTGCAGCCACTATGGATGATGACATGGAGATACCTAGGAAATCTGAATATAGATCTACAATATGACTCAGTCATCCCACTCCTAGGAATTTACCTAAAGGAAAAGAATCAGCATATGAAAGAGTGATCTGTACCCCATGTTTATTTGCAGCTCTATTACAATAGGTAAGATATGGGTAAGATATGGAATCAACCCAGATGTCCATCAACTAAAGACTGGATAATGAAATTATGGTATATTTGCACTATGGAATATTACTCCGAGGTTAAAAAAAAAAACCCTGACTTTGCAACAAAATAAATGCAACTAGAAACCATTATACTTAGTGAAATAGGCCAGTCCCAAAAAGACAAATACGGTTTGTTCTCTCTGATCTGTGGAAACTAACAGAGTACCTAAAAGGTAAAATAGGGAGTGTAACTGACATTCTGAGAAGCAATGACTTTGAACAGCCCTTGTCTTGACTGTTGAGGAACAATTTTTTTTTTTTCTTCATACTATTTGTTGAACTCTGCTTAGTGCAGGGTTAATATTACAAGTATAAAGTTCGCTGAAAACAGATCGTTACAAAAAATAAGAATGGGAATAGGAAAGGGAGGAGGAAGCAGGGTGTGAGTGCAGGTGGGAGGGAAGGTAGGGTGGGAGAATCACTATATTCCTAAATGTGTATATATGAAATACATGAAGCTGGTATACCTTAAATAAAATTTTTAAAAATACAAAAGAAAAAAAAAGCTGTACATTAAAGGAGTCAAAGAATCTGAGCAACCATCAAACAATAATAGACTATCAATCAACCACAATGATCACAAATGGATATATTGAGGCAGGAGTTGGCACAGGAGTTAAGACACCACTTGGGGTATCTGTGTTCCATATCAGAGTGCTTGTGTCCCAGTCCCAGCTCCACTCCCAATCCAGCTTCCTGCTAATGTGTACCCTGAGAGGCAGCAGGTGAAGGCTCAAGTAGTTGAGGTCCTGCTATCCAAGGTCCTGGCTATGGCCTGGCCCAGCCCTGGCTGTTGCAAGCATGTGAGGAGTGAACCATCAGATGGAAAATCTCTTTCTGCCCCCATTCTTTCTCTTTCTCTTTTTCTCCCTCTTTCTCCCTGATTTTCAAATAAATAATTCTTTAAAGTCATTTAAATAAATACATTGAAAGAGGTGATAGTAGAGGGCTCTTCCTTACACTAGATTGGTAAAGACAGAAAATCAACATTTTGCAATCTATATAAGCAAAGACAGGAGCAGGCAACATTTATCAAGGATGCTAAATCTTAGGGAAAGCTTGATGAGGGGTAGAATTTATGTGCTCTCAAAGTGTCTTTCCCATAGATTTCTCATCACCTGCAAGGTTAAAAATATTAGATAAGGGCTGGTGTTGTGGCGTAGAAGGTGCCAATTTGTATTCCAGCTGCTCCACTTCTGACCCAGCTCCCATCTAATGTGCTGAGCCAGGCCAGAGCCAAGAGCCAGGGGCTTCATGAGCTTCATCCAGGTCTCCCACATGGGTGGCAGGGGGCCAAACACTTGGGCCAAGTGATGCTGCTTTCCCAGGCCATTAGCAGAGAGCTGGTTTGGAAGCATGGCAGCTGAGACATGAACAGGCACAGCCATCTGGGAAAGAACCAGTAGATAGAAGGTTTCTGTCTCTCTCACTCTCCCTGTCTTTCCCTCTCTCTCCGTTACTCTACCTTTCAAATATATATATATATACACACACACACACACACACACACACACACATCTTAAAAAAGAAGTTTTCTCTAGATCTCATCATCTTCCTATTTATTATTCAAGCCCAGTTAAATTCTCTTATTAAAGCTTCTTATGGACACTAAAGCCCAGAGAGAACTCTTCTCAGATGTATGTATAACAGATGTTTACTAAATAGATGCACCTTTATCTCTTACTGTTCTTGCCTTCTTTATTGGACCGTGAGCCAAAGAACTAGAGTAACATTTGGGAGAGGTGGAGTGGGATAGTTCTGAGTGCCTACCATGTTGCTTAAAAAGATATCTTAAAAAGTTATACTTTAAAGGGAGAAACAGTGTCAGCTCCCGTCTACTGGCTCACTTCCCAAATGCTGGCAATGGCCCAGGGCCAGGGCCAGCAGCTAGGAACTCAATCTGCCATGTGGATGGCAGAAGCCTAATCACCTGAGCCATCACCACTGTCTGCCAGAAAGTTGGATTCGGGAGCCAGATCTTGGTATTCAACCCAGGTACTCTGATACAGGATGCAGGCAACTTAACCAGTGTCTCATCTACCAGTCCAAACACACATCTCCAACTATGGTGTCTTGGTTCTCAAATTATTTTTGCAGAATGAGTGAATTCTGCTCTTTTACTTCAGAATTTCCTATGCCAAACACATTTAAAGCAAAGTTTGACTCTTGTCTTAAGTTACGGCTTTACCTACTGAGCCACAATGCCGGCCCCAAAACTTTGGTTTTTCCCTTATACTTCTTTTGAGTATAGTAAAACTTAAGGATATTAATTTTACTTTTCAATATGGGTGGCCTGTCATAACATTAAATCATCCATTTTTGCCTCAATGATTTTGTAAATTTTCTAATATAAAAGAGTACTTTAAAAAGTTGATGGAGAGGCTGGCATTGAGGTATGAGTGGGTTAAGCCAGTACTTACAATGCTGGTATCCCATACTGGAGCACTGGTTTGTCTCCTGGCTATTCCATTTCTGATCCAGCCCCCTGCTAATGTGCCTGGGAAAGCAGTGGAAGATGCCCCAAAGTGCTCAGGCTCCTGTCTTTGGCCTGGACCAACCCTGACGGATGCAGCTACTTGGTAAGTGAACCAGCAGATCTGGTTCTCTGTGTCCATCCCTATCTTTCTTTCTGTCACCTTGACTTTTAAATTAATTAATTATATGAAGTTAATGGAATTGAAAGATAAGTTTATTTTGGTATAAAAATTGAAATTAACAGTTTTTTTTTCATAAAATGCACTTCTACAAGCTTTTTAAAGAATCCTTGTATGTACAGATTTCAATTTTTTTTGCACTAAAATAAGCTTATCTTTTAATTCTTTTTTTTTTTTAATTTCTTTTGACAGGCAGAGTGGACAGTGAGAGAGAGAGACAGAGAGAAAGGTCTTCCTTTGCCGTTGGTTCACCCTCCAATGGCCGCCGTGGCCAGCGCGCTGCGGGCGCACCGCGTTGATTCGATGGCAGGAGCCAGGTACTTATCCTGGTCTCCCATGGGGTGCAGGGCCCAAGGACTTGGGCCATCCTCCACTGCACTCCCTGGCCACAGCAGAGAGCTGGCCTGGAAGAGGGGCAACCAGGACAGAATCCGGCGCCCCGACCAGGACTAGAACCCGGTGTGCCGGCGCCACAAGGCGGAGGAGTAGCCTAGTGAGCTGCGGCGCCGGCATTATCTTTTAATTCTATTCCCCACAAACTTTGTGGGAAAACCCTTACATAATAATCATTTACAAATCAGCAAAAATAGCAGCTTTCTAATAACAAAAATAAAGAGCAAAGAACATGAAATATCAATCACAGAAAAGGAAAAATAAATGAAATATTGTCAACCTTACTCATAATTAGGTGAAAAGTGCTCTTTTACTGTATTTCAATTTCTAATTCTCTTTGAAGTAACAAGTATGAGACATAATGCTTGACAAAGGTGTGGCATTCATTCATAGGCTACTAGGATTATAAACAGGTACAATTTCCATGGAGAACAACTTGAAGCAACCTATCAAATGATAAATACATACATTCCATTTGACCAGCCTTTTCCCTGCTAAGAATTCATCTGCATTAAAAAACTTTTATATATTAGTGTTGGTGAGATATTATTTCTAACAGAAATAAAAACTGGAAGACTGTGAATGTCCATAAACGACAGTTCAGAAAGGTTCAATATCTCCACAAAATAGTAAGAGGCACATCAATAGGCAGCTGAATGAAGCATCTCTAAGACATAGTGAGAGGGGAGAAAAGATATAAAATATTACGATTGTGTCTAAAAATAAAAAGCTAAGACTTAGGCAGAAGCACGCACAAACACATATAGGGGTGGGTTTGGATCTGCATAGACTATTGTTTTTCACTGAGTATCCTTTGCTTAGCCTGAATTTTGTAAACACATAAAGTGTATTACCTATTTTAAAATAATAGAAAACAAGAAGAAAGAAAAAAATTTGTGTGTTTTGCTAAAATAAGGGTCATCTTCCACTTCTCAGCAGGATGGTAAAAGGGGAATTACATTTGTCTCCTAAGGCTGAGGACCACAGTCACAGCAGAGCTGCAGAATCCACAACACAGCAAAGCCAGAGCAAGTAGCAGCATTTTTCATATGAATAAGTGAACAAATCAAATCCGGAGGCCAATACCAAACAACGCAAGTTTATCTACCTCCAGGTCTTACAGCAACAAACAGTGCACGTAAGCGAGGAGAAGAGGCCTGGCTCACAGCAAATATTCGGTAATGACTGTACAATCACCTAGGTCACACTCAGTGTGCACCAACCCCTAGATACCCCACAGGTCAAAGTGCTGAACACACATCCAAATATGTACAAATATGTCCGGGGGACTGAGGGATTCTTGTCCAATGGGTCCAAAGTTTTAGTTTTCTAAGATGAAAATTTCTTGAGCTCTATCACAATTATGTGATACTGGTACAGTTGATGGAGCATGCACTGTAGCAAAGCAGGTTAAGCATCTGCTTGGGAGACCCACAATCCCACCCTGGAATGCCTGGGATTGAGTCTTCCAGTTTTCCACTAATGTGCACCCTAGGCAGCAGAAAATGGTCATTGCCACCCACATGGGAGACCTGAATGGAGTTCCTGGCTGCTAGGTTCAGCCTGGCTCAGCCCTAGTTGACACAGGCATTTGGGGAGTAAACCAGCAGACCGAAAATCCATTTCTTTCTCTCTTTCTCTGTCTCTCACTCTGCTCTTCAAATAATATTCTTTAGTATTTTAAATGGTTATGATGGTAAATATTTTACCACAATGAAAAAGAATGCTGCAATAATTAAATGAGATAATTACCATACTTTCAGTACAAAAAAGCCCTCAATAAATAATTGGGATATTATTATGATCGTGAACTCTGAGAGCAGGATGGACAGTGACTTAGAAAGATGCTAAAAACTGGTAAAGCCACTATGGAGGACAGTTTGGAGAAACGAAAGAAAGACAGAAAGACAGAGAAAGAAAGACAGAGAAAGAAAGACAGAAAGAAAGACAGAAAGACAGAAAGAAAGACAGAAAGAAAGACAGAAAGAAAGACAGAAAGAAAGACAGAAAGAAAGACAGAAAGACAGAAAGACAGAAAGACAGAAAGACAGAAAGAAAGAAAGAAAGAAAGAAAGAAAGGAAGGAAGGAAGGAAGGAAGAGAGAGAGAGAGAGAGAGAGAG